TTCTGCTCGATCAACTAGCTTTCCCAAAGGAGACATCATTGCAATCTTGACTCCAATACCCATAACACGTGAATTTCGCTACGAGCGTTCTTTGCGTGAAAATTTCGTTTAGAGAGAGATTCAAAAAATTGAAAAAAACCGTAAACAAAAGAAAAAAAGGAAATTAAATAAGCCTCTTAATAATTAGTGACCTAGTAATTAAGTGCCATCCGCTGTGGAAGAATTTTTTTTCGAAATCTGTTGTGAAAACGAAACGCGCAAAATATCGATTTCTCTCAGAGCTGCATTGGGACTGTTCATTATCTGCATGTCTGGTGCCTGGGTGTGTTTATGTATGTGTTTTAAGGGGGAGGGGTGGGGGAATCGCGTCATGATAAAACTTACCTGATTCCCCATGCCAAGTTCTGTAATAGCCCCCTCCACTCACTGACAATTACTTGTCAGTCAATTTTCTATAAACTTTATATATATATATGTATGAACGACTACTTTTGGGGCTGAGGCTCAAAGTTCTTTATTGCGATTTGAGCCTAAAAACGTTCTGTACGTGTTCTAAAGGTTGTGTAGTATGGTATTTCAATTTGAGTTAATTGTCCCTTCTCGCACAAAAAAAAGAGCAAAACAAAGAGGTCCTTAACCCTTTAACTCCCAGATCAAATTTGTAATTCTCCTTCTTGTCAACCATACAATTCTTATGGTGTTAGTTCAGAGAATTTAGTATTGGGTCAACTACTTATCCCCAAATTGATATTTTCTATATTCTCAATACTTATCTGGTTGATATTGTACTGATATTATGGGGATAAATTCTGTCTTAGTCACTCATGGGAGTTAAAGGGTTAACTGACTCTCAGCCTGGGTATCCCCGCCCTAGGTGTGTTTTTGAAAATTTTGCCTTATCTCAGCCTGAACTTTTTTGTAAAAAAGGTTCTTATAAGAAATAAAAAATTGTCCCCTCTTTATACTATGTTGGCGACGTCTGGTTCTATCTCCATTTCCCCAGAGAACCATGTGACTCCCCCTAAAAATCCTCTCCTCTCCCCCTCCTTCAGATTGATTCCTGGGAGTAATTTTACTAGAGTGACGATAGCCCGTGGGAGTACTCCCCGCGGACGGCCAATTGGGGCTCGATCCATCGTAAAGGGCTTACCTTTCATTCAACTCTTTGTCCTCCCCCGGGAAATGTTTATGACATCTTTCGGTAACAGGTGTAAATTTGGACAATTTTGGTACTGGATATTGTTTTTAAGGGGATCATGAGAGCGTGTGAGTGTGACTATATCTCCAGCTCCTGATGAAAAGCACCAAAAGAGAGGGAGAAACATTGTCTAACATCATGTGAATAATTCCGCACTGATGCGAAGCTTTTTTACCCAGCAACAAAACGTCAAGGATTGTTAAGCCAAATACAAAGTGAAGAGGCCACCAAAAGAGACAGGTTAGGGCTCCAGAACCTGCCTTTCAATTCTTTGAATTTTAATTTTAAAATATGCCCTGGGGCCCCGTTAAGTTACCGGAACTTTCGAGAAACGGACATCTGAAGTCTCAAAACAGCTGTTGAAAATGATATTTTTGCAATGAAATATATACGGTTAGGATTTGGAGAACTAGGTAGGGCTCTTTTCGTAAGATTTCCAAGAACCTCCCTCCTCGTCGTACCTGCAGTGGATACGAAATAATTGCTTTAGAAAACGTTCATCATCCTGTCAGATTAAATTAAACGGTTCGATCAATCTGTTCTTTCCCACGTATTAACCAATCACTGAGTGGGTCATACGTTCATGACTAAGCTGCGCTAATTTGAGTTGCGTAATCGTAGGTCATTTTGTATCAAAGATGTCCAAAAAGGGACAGGCCAAAATCTAAACCATGCCTGCCAAGAAGACTGTTACGGTGTAATCTAACCAACAGAAAAACACTACAATCCCACAAACGCAATTAGCGACAGTAATGAGTAATGTTCTTAACAAGGTGCGACTTCTAAAAGCAGTACAATACTTATCGTTAATAAACTTAATTAGCCCACCACAGTCTATATCCTAGCTCGCCACTGACACAATCTCACTGTTGTCTCCAAAATTCCTTGAAATGAGCAATCTTCCACAGTAACTCTCTCTCGGCATAGCTTTCAAAACAGTCGTCGCTCCGACCACAACAATTAATCCTACTTATATATATATATATATATATTCACAAAGTGTTCTGGAACATTCCAGAAGCTTGCATAAGAACTATTTTAGAAGTATTACGTAATAAATAGGTGACTTGATAAAATGTTCTAGAAAGTTCTACGGTATGCAAGTCAGCATGACTCAGCAGTTTGAATATTTCCACTGGTACTTATTAGTGCCAGACCCCTCGCACACATCTTACCAGCCTGTTTAGCATGTTTCGAACTTTTCGCGGTCGAATAATTTGTTTCATGCCTCAGCGTTAATAATGAGGGCCTACTGGCAAGCTAAAAGAAAAAAAAATAATACTTTAAAACCGATAAAGGCAGAGTAATCTCTGTTACTAAGAATCTATGTAACTTTACTGGAAAAATGCGTGCACAGAGAGGAAATCTACCCTTTCGCGCCCTCGAAAAAAACCCAGTTTTTGCTACTTATACATGACCCACCAGAACGTGAAACGTTTAATTTTGCCTCAAGAGTACGCTTGTTACCCAATACTTATATTGGCAAAAAAATCAATCAACCATATATCATTCTAATTGCTCAGATTCTAAAAGGCTCTGTATGGACGCATATCGACAACAGTGTCTGGAAGTATCGACTAACTGTGCAAAAAAATTCGTCCAATCTATATGTTTCTTGTTTTGCTGAAGGATCAGTCGATGGTTTAATCCGGAAGTGCAAATTTAGCAACTGCAGCAACGCAAACGTAAAGCGCGCGCGAATTGTCTTTGTCACGGAACAATTTTGTAGGCATGTGGGCAGACAATCTGATAAGAATTGCTTTTCCCTACTTTTTGCCATTGTTCATCATCCGATTTAAAATGCGCAGGTTGCTTAAATCTCGTTGAAAATCATTCCGTGGCTTTAATACATCGAGAAAGAAGAGGTAACAAGGTCGGCGTAACAGAGGGCTAAAAGAGGTGACTGAAAGGCAGGTGACGAGAGGCGTAGGGCACGGTTTCCCATCAAAAAAAATTGTTTTTCATTGTTTCCCATTTTTTTTCGTTATATTGGAAGAAGGCGCGGCTATCACCCTCCCTAGCCCTGCCCTCAGCTCCGTCGTCGCGCCCCGGGCTTTTTCGTTGTTGTTGTTGTTGTTGTTGTTGTTGTTTTTCTTTCAGTGTTTATTTTTCAGTATTATTAAAAAATCTTTTAGACTAGTGTAGCCAAGCGCAAGACGGACCGTGGGAGCAGTTAAAAATCATGCCTGTTCTTAAGGCAAAGTGTAATCCTGTACTTTCAATGAAGTGAATGTCTATCAGTTCGTTGTGACTTTGACAGATATTTTAATCAGTCATATTGAGAGAGAATTGTTGTCAGATTTCTATAATTCTTTCTTTGTGAACGCCACATCAAATATCTCTTTTAGGGCCAAGTTATATTGGTTTCCTTCCTTCTAAAATTTTTCTACTCCTAATTTCGATGAACTGATATTAACCCTCTTCTTTCTTATCTTAGGTGCAAATTTAGGCGGCATCTGTGTATTTTTTTGTGTGTGTATTTGCACTCCCGTTGACTGAATTGCCCTTGTTTTAGTGCGTCTATTTTGCCCCTTCTGGGACGGCATGTAATAGGATTTCCGCCTGATCCGCCAAGCTATATGAAAGGTCACTGTACACCATCTAAGCTCAGTTTGTTTTTTTGAGAGCTAAAAAAAGGATCCTCTAAAAAGAACCGTCTCTAATATTACCGCAGGCAGCAAGATAACCTCGTGTTATATTTATAGTAGTTGTGGTTCCTTACTAGCGAGTGGTGGTTAATTGAGGTCGGCCCTCATCTTGCCTCTAAAGTAAAAGAAAAGCTACCGAAATAGTAATTTTCCAAAAAGGAAACGTTGTTTTTTAGGATTCCATTCGGGCATGAGAATTCGACATCCCAGATCCCAAGGTGTTTATAGGATTCAAGGTTTTATTTCCAACTAAAAAAGGAATTGTTAATCTAGTTACCGTTTTTCAATTTGAGGGATAATCTTCGTTGATAACCCCACGTCGATAATGTATACCTAGTCTTCACAAATACGGTTTTCCCCAGTCACAACACATGATATGATAACACATACAGCGAGCTAAAACGTCAAGATATTACGAGTAAATCACTCTTCGCCTCTGTAAAAAGCAATTAGATACAACTTTGTTTTTATATCAGTACGGTTCTGCATTTTTTCCGCACGATAGCTCTGCAAACCCAAGCAGAATTTGGAATACAATTTTTTACTGGTCACAGAACTGATCAGGCGTTCCTTCAACATTGCTTTCTTCCTTCTCTCGGCTTATTGCTCCAAAATGATTAATTCCTGCAAAATATACTGAGGAGGAAAAAATCAAAACAAGAATTAAGCTTATTTTGTATTTCAGTATCGTTGATTTCCGGTTTAAGTGAATAGTCGATTTTCTTCAATAAAAGAACAAATGAAACTCCGCCGTCTCAGTCGAATGTAAATATAGTAATAGACAGATGTTGACACTCACGTCTCAATCGAATAATCAATCTCGAAGACACTGAAAAAAAATTCTTAAGATCAAGTTTACTGCGATTAAGTTTCCGGTAGGCGAAACTGGTCGATCGGAGTGAATTTTACGCGCCGTTTTGAGCAAATAGCGGTGTTTATCAAACAGTTCAGTTATTAGCCAATCGAACCAATCATAAAAAGGGAGAGATAAAGGAAATGTCAGTCAGCCTTTGAACATTATTAGCGTTGAACAAGCGGATGACCAATAATCTGCGCAAGAAACCATCTAATGGCAGCACGTGATTAAACCTGTCAATCAAGCACCACACGAAGTAGCATACGGGGTTTTTAGTTTTCCACGCTTTGGAAAGTTTCGGTCAGTGAGAGTGTTATACGGAGATATGAATGTTTGCAATTTTGTAGTGTTTTTTCTGCTATCGTCGGCTGTACACTGCTTAGGTAAGTAAAGAGGGTTTCCAAAGGGATTGTCTTAAGTCCTGCATTGTCAGATTAAATCTGATCTGGAATGCTAACTTTCCGAAATGTCTCCAATACGTGAGCTTAGGCGGTAGAACAGAAATCTATGCCTTTTTTGTCCACAAGGACATATCTGCTAAATGGTATCCCGGTTTTTCGCAGATCATAGCACGCAATCTACTTATTCTTTGGTTAAAAGGGAGTCAGAATACTCCGGTGGTTTTTTTCGTTGTTTTTGGACGGTTTGGTCAGTGAATTTTGTCTCGTTTCAACCTTGTTTTGGTGCTTACGACGAGAGATGTAGGAATCGTGACATGCATTGGAAATTACTGAGTACCTTGTTGTTTACATGTTTCACTATTGATAGCATCTTCTTGTCCAATACTTCTATTCCTCTCTCAAGCTTACTAATTTTTTTTTTCAAATTGAGGAAGAATTTGAAAGAGTTTTTAATATTTTCGACTGTTTAGAAACATTTGTTGCCGTAAAGTACAGGCTTACTAAAGGTTAAATGTTGTGACGAGTTGTTTGACATCAATGTACACGGGAACTTCAATTAGTAGAAATCGCTTTCAAGAGAAGATTTTAATGGCCTGCAATCGTAGCCGATGACGTGTAATTTTCCTTTAAATTCTCTCTTAACCCCTGTCCATCGTAAAAATTTTTGTATCTTTTTTTTTTTTTAGGATGCAATATTCCACCTAGTGACATAGTAAGTCGTTCGCATTCGAATTGAAGGTCATTGTTAATGAATTCACAAAACAAAAGTATTCCGTTGCGTTCCTTTTACATTGCCCTCGGCTTTTTATAGATATATCTTTTTTTTTTCGTTTTTATTTTCCTTTTCTGGATACCCCAAAAAAGCATAGCCATGCTTCCTTGACTTTTCTTGCAAGCGTCTGTCTGCGAAGACCCTTTTCGAGATTTGTTTGTTTTCCTTCGATTCGCGTACTTTCATAAACAAATGTTCGTATGATTTTGGGCACGCTTATCGAGTTGCCATTTTTTAAACCACAAGTTATTCAATACATTGAACTAGATTTTTTTCAAAAATATGCTTTTTTGATACTAGTTCCTTCGACAATGATCGCTTTTCAGAAAACGTGACTCCAGTAATAGTTGGCTGGCAAAGCTCTAATCGACAATATTGACTTAAGAACAACAAAGTGAGGCTTGCCTTTCAATTGTACATGGTTTAACTAGGTGCATGTCGCTTTTTAAGCCCTTGTGAATTTGTTTTAATATCCCGAATCCGGAAAATCGTAGCCGACGTGCCCTCGTGTCAAATTTACCTCGAACTTGAGGACCGGTATGTTATACGGAACCGATGTTGAATAACGTGAGGCCGACTTCTTTCCCAAGTTTTTAATATCGATTGCTACTGTTTTGAAATATAAAAATAGCTCTGTACCTTTCAGTTCGGATTTGTTAGTTTCCGAATATATTAATCGCTTGTCTGTACAGTTTTCAACATCAATAATCCCTTCTTAAAGCTCTAGTATTGCAGTTTACACCAAACGTGTGATGATGTTTTAAACGTTATGCTACGAGATTGACGAGGGCAGCTGCGATGACCCTTCTGTAGTGATCTGTGTATAGAGCTTTGATTTGACACAGTGTGAATCGGGAAAACATGTTGCAATATACGGCTGAAAGTGAAAGAGGAACGTGTAAAATTAGTAACAGGGGTTTTTTTTTTTGAGTAATTTGCCTATAAATTTGTCTGGTTTTTTTTTGTTATTTTACTTCCACAATATAAGTATCATTCTTTTATTGATGATCAGTAATTAATACTTCTAAAATGCAGAATGAACCGTTTTTAATATTATCTCCCATATGCACATTTTCTTGTGTGAAAAATGGACTTCACTCAAGGCTGCTTTGTTGCATCAATATGTTGCATTTTTGTTTCATGGGTCAGTGTTCTTTTGTAGGTGGTGCACCCCTATTAGTAAATAGCTCACAGGTTTTCAGCCTTGTGTTTATAAAATTCCCAGATCTTTAAAAATATCTGAAAGGTTTTAATAAAAGATGTCCTTAGATGGACATAATTAAAAACAAAGCCAGGTGCATCACAAAGAACAGTACAATAGTATTGAAAAGATATTGTGCAATATCTGTACAATTGCATGCCTGGATGTTTCTGCCAGTGAAGCATCACCCAGAAACTGTTACAGTAGACTTTTATAATTTTTGATTAACTTCGTTTAGAAAAATTGTTTTTTGAACAATGTTGTTTTGCAATTCTTGTTATTTGAGGGGAGAGTGCCTCAGTACCAGTAAATGAATCAGCAAGCTTTATTAACTTAGCAGAGTTGTTTATTTAATTAGTGTTTGAGAAGTCCACAAGGGCTCATAAATTAATTGTTGTTAACAATTCAAGATCTTGCGCAATTTGCCCAAAAGTTTCTCAGCAGCATGTGGCTTTTGTTCATTTTGTTGCATTAGACAGCTGCGCCTGTTTGAAATTCTATAAAACAGGTGAGCAACGCAACCCTGAAACCCCTGAGTATCTGTCACATAGTTCTCCATTCTTACGAGGTGCATTTCTTGGTTGCTGGGAGAATCTAGTGAGCTATCAAAATAGCAATCTTAAGCTGATAAGTGTGTCTTCACTTGTAGCAGAATAAAATATTCGAATTTAGAGGAGAGGTGACATGTTCCATGGGTGTGGTCTCACCAAAAAAGGCTTTTGTACTGAAATAGCAAATTCACGTGTAGTCACAAAAATTATAATCACAGTTAATCATACTCAGACTTGTTGTCTTATCCACAGGTTAAATATGAGTTATATTATGCATTAGTTATATGTTATCAGAATCCCTCGGCATTTTAACAGTGATCTTGCTCCTTACATGTTGCTTTATAGCAAATGTATCATATGTCGCTGAGGGACTATTATGAAATGTTTGCAAGATGTCCATTGTCTTCTGTATCGTCACAACAAGTATTGAAAAAATAATATCTTTGGTTCTATTGAAAATAGTTCACTAATTCAAAGTTTCTATGATACACTGATCAAACTTACTGGATTCTTTTACAAGGCTGCAACACAGGCAGATGAAATGAGTTTGAATATAGCATTACAGCAAACACTGAGAAAATGAAAATTTTGAGAGACACGATTCTTTCTTTAATTTATTTTAAAATGGAGTCAACAGTGGCACTGCATTATTTCTTGGCAAGGGAAGTTTAATTAAAATTTACTAACAAGCAAAAACTCTATGAAAAGTTGACCAGACTACAGTGGTGAACAAACAAACAAAGCCACTAGAAACTCAAGATGATCAACTGATATGCGATCCTGCTTAATTGCCAGTTTTTACATTGCTCATTGGAACGAACAATGGCCACTTCATAATAGAGAAAACAATTGCTTAACTCATTCATATTAATTATTCAAACACATCTGAAAATAGAGATGTAAACTCATCTATCAAAACCAGTATGTGTATGGTCTTATATGTGTACTATGTGCATTTGACTTGTATGTCTTGGTCCCCTTATCTCTGAACTACACTGTGCATGTTCACTGGCTGAGAAAGGGTGGTCCAGATGGGAAAATATTTGGCTTAAGGTCATGACTTAGATACTGAGTCCTCTGAGGCCTGTACAGCATGAGCAAAGGCCAAATAGTTTTGTGTCTGGTTTAACCCAACTCAGATTACAAGCATTTTATCACGTAACTGCTGCCCTTTCTCCATCACCTTTATTATCTCTTTCTTCTGTCAGAGCCCAAATGCTTTTTTCAGCCCTGCATAGTCCATATTGTATAAGACAAGCTGGCTTGAACCAGGCCAAAATGATATACAAGAGTCTTTAAGGAATGCATCTCTCTTAAACCTGCCCTATGCTTTGTTTTTACTTTGGTCATCCTTGCAATTTTTTATTGATATATACATGTAAAGCCTTCTTCAAATTACTGCCTCATTTTATAAAATGTGGTTGTCCATTCTCGATACACTTCATAGGAAATCAGTTTTATGTCGAACAAAAAGCGTACATTCCTATTTTGCATTCTGTTGGGTAATGAAGTGCACTCAATAGGCTTAACATTATAGTTTTTTCTTAAAATTCTGTCAAATAGTCCTGATACAGTCATTTTGACGAGGATGTCTTGAAAATTTAAGTCCCATTCGTTACCCAACATACTGTTAAATAATTAACAATTTGGATCAAAACCTGTATTGGCCTTTCTTTACAGGAGATCCCAAAAGAGATGGAAAAAGCCCTCGACTGGTGTGTCATTTCTGTAGCAAGTCTAACAGCAGCCAAAGTGAATGTACATGGATCAACACAACTTGTGATGAGACAAGCAAACACTGTTACACCATGTGGATAAATGACTCTTCAAGTAAAGGAGGGGTACAACATGCAGGGTGCTGGCAGCAAAATGCAAACTGTGAAGATTCATTGTGTTTGGGAGAGAAGACACATAATGGGAAAGGTTTTTTCTTTTGCTGCTGTAATGAAAATCTTTGTAATGGGAATTTCAGTTTACGCCCTGAGACAACAAGATCAACAGTAACTTCTGAACCAAGTAAGTTGAGAATTGAAGATTTTACTATCCAAATACTTAATGTAACTTAAAAACCTCTCATGAACCAAATTTATATGAATTATTTGAACTCATATTTTCTGAAAAATTAAATCCTGGAACATGTGAGAGGTGATGCGAAAAAAATATTACACAAAAAGCTATTAATAAGCAAGGACTAGTAAAGAAAGTTCAATCTGGATTAAGAATGGATATATTTGTGTTGATCTATGATTAAACCTACGAACATCGAATGGTGGCATGATGCACATTTCTTGTTTGTTGTAACTCATTTTGTCAATCAAAGGGTTGCAATTTATCTACATGTACATATCTTCTCATGCCATTAAGAACCAAGTGTGCCATTAAGCCAGTGGGATTGAAACCTCATGCTTGAAATCAAGGTTAAAGTGATCAGTCAGTCTAAGATGGCGCCCAAACCCTGAAATAGAACAGCATCTGGAAGGAAGCGACACAAACAGTGTGCATTTCCCCAGTGTCAAATGCAATGAATAAATTATCAAGGTGTTGTAATCTCCATCATGCATGACCTTTGTGTCTGCCCTCTGGTGGCAAACAGGTTTGCCCAGGAAATCTTTGTGTCACTTAATATTATCATTATTTAAGTTTACACTTGGGTTCAAGTGTAGTGGTTTTCTTATCATGAAATGTTAAATAAGTAACAAAGTCCTTTGATAAAAACTTCTTAGTTCTTAAATTTCAATGACGCAAATATATGAAGTTGGTTTCATGTAGTGATTTTTCCCTCCATTTGCATTGAAAACAAGCATGTGAATTGAGAAATATAAAAAGGAGAAGAGTTCATGGGTTAAAGCCCAAGAAGCCTGAGGCAGAAATGAAATAAAATTTGACAAGGAATGACAAGAACATCTTGCTGAAATGGTTATGAGCTCATACTTAACTCAGTTTGGCTGCTAGCAACCAATCAGCAGTCATCAAGAAAAGGTCTGCCGCAGCAGGTCCAAGATGCCTGCAACTTGAGAAATTGAAATTGCTGGCAAGTGGAATTGTACCTACAGGCTAAATTCCACTTGCTAGCGGGTAAGGCTTCTAGGTAGGTTTTGTTATACACAATAACTGCAAGTTCTCCCAAACTTTTTTTCTGTTGAGAGTCTCTTAGGACTGTCTTGGATGGTTCTGTGTCTGTGTTTCTTTCGACTTTTGGCATTTGTAGCAGCCAGGGTGTTGAGAGAAGTGGGCGCTTTGTCACTTAAAGACATGAAATGTTTGAAAAACTTAAGATTGAATTAACTTCTTTTGTTTTTGCACCATTGTGATCTTTTGAACAAATTATTAGGATATGAAAAGTTAACAGATTGCATTGCAATTTGGCTGGATTGCTATTTTAAAATGCCAACCAAAAAAACTGTGTTTGGGATTTCAATTTGGTGAAAAGAGTCTCCTGCAATGGCCAGTGGTAAAATTTTGGGAGGCAAACTTGACGGGAAATTGCATAATAGGATTAACCCCTGTAAGTGGAATTATACAGAGGCCCTATCAGTGTGGTCGGATATGATAGCAGATTAGTTCACTCAAAGAGATATTGTCAATTTCTGATTTGTTCTGCCTTTGTGGATTTCATCAAGCTAAAACAAAACAAGTTTTGCCAAAATAGCATATGCCATAACCTTTCAATTGATGTTTAGGAATTTGTGGTGACACTTAAAATGGCATGTGAACAATTTTAATCACAAAGGACATGGGAAAGGTCTACCACATCTTAAACTAGGTAAAACATAACTGAGAAATTATCACTTTCCCTGGAGAACTCAAAAGGATTCTGTGTGCTTTGTGCTAAGATATGTTGTAGTACTAAACTCACTGGTTGTTTGTCGAAATACAATCATGTAAGCAAAATGGCTCTCCATTGTACTCATAGCCTGTAATTTAAGAGTGGAATCCAGTACAAATTGGTGACTGCTGTTGTACTTTAAAGTCGATGAAATAAAGATTTTTGGCTATGGTGATCTAAACAGTCCCAGTTTCGAGCACTGTGCAAGAGTTATTTTCACTCGTGGATATAGGAAGCATAGGAATGAGAGTAATGTTGGGATTTAATATGCAAATTTTGTGGTGTTAGCAGAGCAAGAAACTTTCTTTTCAAGTCACTTGTCCATTTGGACAAATGTGTGTTTATTTTACAACCAAAAGCTTACTAATCTGCAAAATGTCAACTAGTGGATCAGACGTGGAATTCACTCATAAATTAATGGTTTAACTTTGCATAAAAAATTAAACACATGTAATGCACACAAATTGTTAATAACTATCTGTAAGCTGTACTTATTTTTATTTGTAGCAAAGATATACCCTCCTTTTTAGTTAAGTGATGGCAGTAGCATGTCACTCCTTACCAAAAAATCAACTTGAAAGCTCTGTATGTATGTACGAAAACAAGATCTGATGTAGAAAAATATGTCCGCAATGGGTTACTTTTTCTGGGAAATCTTGATCCATCATCATTGACGCCAGGAGGTCCCACTGTCCCATTTGTTTGCCATTTCAGGAGGCAAGATAACCTCCTGGCACGGTGTGAGTCATTTGTGAACTTTTATAGGCTAAAATCCTGCATTCGATTTTGGTATGGATACAACCACTTTATTTATAGGGTGTATAGATTTACAGATTTTTGTCAAATTTCGCCAAAACATTCCAGGGATAATGACAAAGTGAAGCATGTTGGGAAGTTTTGATATTTGAAATATTTGTCCCTTGGTGTCCAATTATGCAACACACCTTGCATATTTTTCACTACTCCAACTTAAGATGCTGATATTCTAGACAATCAATCAAAATGTCAAAAAGCCTGACACTCTTTTGTTGATTGATGCCTTGGGAATAAGACTATGCAGCCATTTTGCTTGTGCTGCGGCATCTGATACCTAATTGATTCAACAGAAGAACCCTTGGTCATTTCACACCTTACCAGCTTCTGACATTTCTTTAAAGGAAAAGTTGCTTAAATTATATTTTTATTGTAAACAGCAGTTTGCAAGCTTTCTTCTGATGTATAATTTGCAAGGATATTAGTGAAACCAACGCACATTCGAATTTTTTCCCAAAGGACACCTGCGAAGGTGGGAAGTAACCTCAATAGAGGTTCTGTAGTATTTAAACTTTTGCTCTTTGTTCTCAACAGTAACTACAGGAGGAATAATACAATATACCAACAAACCTTCAGAACCTGACAGACGTGGCCCCACATACACACTGTTGTATTTAGTGGCTCCAATTTTTGTATTAGCAGTTATCCTGGTAATTGGGTTTTTTATGTATCGCCGCCACAAAACACCATTTCCAACCCGTATCCTGGAAGAAGAACTTCTCAACTCAATCCCTCCACCATCCCCAGAGCTGGGCTTCAGACCCATTCAGCTTGTGGAAGTCATTTCACAAGGAAAGTTTGGCACAGTATGGAAAGCGGATTATCTCGAAGATGCAGTTGCTGTTAAAGTTTTCCCAATGGCCCACCAGACTGCTTGGGTCTGTGAAAAAGATATCTTTACAACTTGCAACTTGAAACATGAAAATATTCTTAAATTTGTTGCGGTAGAGAAGCACAACAATGGCTTATGCTCTGAGCTGTGGTTGATAACAGAGTATCACGAGCATGGATCTCTTGGCGATTATCTTAAGGGCCATGTAATAACATGGCCAGAGCTGTGTTCAATGGCAGGAAGTATGGCTAATGGCCTTGCATATCTGCATACAGAAGTATTAGAAAGTTCTTTCAAACCCTGCATAGCCCACAGAGATTTCAAAAGTAAAAATGTGCTGGTCACAAAGGATCTAACCTGCTGTTTGTCTGATTTTGGACTGGCAATGAAGTTTGACTCAAGCGGGGATCCAGGGGAGACACATGGCCAGGTGAGTCAGGCCTCAGTGAGCTGCATAGCTTGTAGGCAAACAGCATAGGCAGCTGGGCAAAGGGAGCAGTGGGGGCTACACTTGAGAGGACTTCGCGCCCCCCCCCCCCAATTTTTGTTTCTGGATATTGCTAGTGTAGTATACAATTAGTGTGGCAAAGCATTTGGTTTTATTAGGGTTGTGCATCAGCAAAGTCCTATTTAGTATAATGTTTTTTATCATAGCAGCTCTGGCCTGAGTTCTAGTAGTAAACATAAAAATGTTTTGGTAGATTTGCATAAGGGTATGCATGCAGCTTGATATATGGAATGACCCTCCTTTGCAAAATCATTCCTGTAGGTATGATATGCGCATCATGGAAATTTTAAGGGAAATTTTTTGGTTGAAAAGAGAGCATTTTACTGATTTAATCAGTGACTTATGCCCAAAAGAGCTGCTGAATTTGCAAAGTGAGCAAGCTGCAAAGTATGATACTTTGCCCTATTCAATGAAATAGAATGCTGAAATACCCTAAAACAAGTAGTAACAGAATATCAAAGGGGTGGTATGATGGAATATCCTAAAATGCAGAATTCCTTGTTGTATGAAGCAAGAAACTAACAAAAATGGAATTCCATAAAATATTAACATGAAAAGAAGTATTGCTTGATCACTATTAGAGCCTCAAGGATTGGGGCAACCATGAGGTTTTCTAGCTATGTCTTTAATTTATTAAGATATTACTATTGCTATCATTATTATTATTATTATTATTGTTAATATGATTATGGAGATGCTGCAGGTTTTCTGTTTTGCACATGAATACACTACCTTCTAGCGTCACTATACTGTATGCTACATACAGTATAATGCCACAGTGCTATAAAAATTGTGCAATATCAGTAGCCCCACACAGTCTCTGACTGTCTATTTTTACAGGTTGGAACAAGGCGTTACATGGCACCAGAAGTACTTGAAGGAGCCATCAGCTTCACAAGGGAGTCATTTTTGTACATTGATATGTATGCCTTTGCTCTGGTTCTTTGGGAGTTGATGTCCAGATGTACTGCTGCTGATGGTGAGCAAATCTATGAATACTGTACCAGTATATTTCTCAGATGGCAGCTCATCTTCCAGGATCATTACTTAAATTAACCCTTTACACCATAACATCAGTATTGATTTTCTTCAGACTCTTCTTCATGCTTTTCCTTTGGTGTTGACAAGGAGAATTTGTGTAGCAATCAAAGCTTCTTGGGTTGGCGATCATTTCAGTTATTGTCATGATGATATTAAATGATGTGGCAGTTTTGCTGCAAGGAGAAATTAGATGCTGGTCACTTGTAGGGGTCAAAGAGTTTATTTTTATCAGTGAGGGTCAAAAGATCATTTATTTCATTTGATTATGATCAGATTTCTTAATGGGAACAAAGAACCTGCTGAAATTTGCCTCACTACCAACATGTGGCTTCACAGCCCAGTTGGTTGAAGCATCCAACTGGTATCTGGATAGCATGAGTTCCTAAAGCCAGAATATTTTTTGCCTTATAGCCTACAAATGAGGATCTTTTTTTAATTGAGCATTATGCGCAGTTCACAATATGATTTATTTCAATGGGTTGGGATATTATAAATACTTTATTTCCACATGCCACAAAGAATATTTTTCCTTGATTCTAAAGTGGAGAATATTTTTTTGTCAGGTCCTGTTGATGAATACAAATTGCCATTTGAAGAAGAAATAGGATCACATCCTTCCTTAGAGGACATGCAACAAGTTGTAGTACAGCAAAAGATCAGACCTAAATTCCGACCAGACTGGTTTGTCCACTCGGTACAAACATTTACCTTTTACTCTCTAACACCAGAGAATTTAAGAAAGATGTTTTTCATCTTGTTACGAGCATGGGACAAATAAAAATTCTGAGTCCCTATGAGGAATCGAACTTCAGACCTTCGGATGGTCTGTATCCGAAGGTCTGAGGTTTCATTCCTCATGGGGACGCAGAATTTTTATTTGTCCCATGCTCGTGACAAGACAAAAAACATCTTTCTTAATTCCTTACCGAGCTCAAAAACTTACCATCTCTACCATCTCTATCAACACCAGAGAATTTGTTTGACAATCAAGGGCTTCTTTAGTTGGTGACTGTTTCCTTTATTTGCATGACCTTATTATTTGATTCAGGGGTGATACTGTGTGGAAAAATGAGATGCTAGTTACTCTTAGGAGTCAAAGGGTTTTGTAGCATCCCTTTGGTGGTTTCAATAACATGATACAAATAGGTACGTGCAGTGAGAATAGCAGGCAGCTAGTTTCGAAGGCCTTGAGAATCTCCTGTTCCACGGGAGATGCAGATTCCCCATGGAAAGTTTGAAGTTCTGGATTCTTTCTGTGGCATTTTTCTACATTTGGAGGTCCATTTAAAATTAAACATGTAGTTTTTGATAATGGTGAACAGTTTAAACCAGAAATCTTACTTGAAAGAAATCAGTTTGAATTTAAGATGCTATAATTTGCATGGTATAGTTTTGTCAAGATTTTAAATCAGAATTGGTTTAGAGAAACTGCCGATAAGAATTTTTTTTTTTTGACAATCAGGAGCTTCTTAAATTGTTCATTATTTTCTTCATCCTCTACCTTTATATTTGGTTCAGTGGTGATACTGTAATGAGAATTAGAAGCTAGTCACTCTTAAGGGTTAAAGTGTTCAGGGAGTTGTGGTATTCATAAAAATGTCTCAGAATACTAAACGATTGATTGTTATTTTGTACCTAGAATATGGCGAGCCTTCTTCAAACTATTGAAGAATGTTGGGATCAAGATGCAGAGGCTAGGTTAACAGCTCAGTGTGTCGCAGAAAGGTTATCTCAATTCAACACAAATTCAAGCTTCGATTTGGCGCATTCTCCCACTGTTACAACAGTAGTCAACAACACCAACATTACTCCATCTTCAAAAGAATCATCAATATAAACAAGATTAAAAAAATTATGCAATGTGAAGCATCCTTAGGGAGCAGCGAGTCAGTAAGGTGAGTATCAGGAATACATTCACCTGTAAAAGAGTCAGGAAACTCAGAGTTTTAAACACTGTGGATCAGAGTTTGTGTACAAGGCAGCAAATGGATACAATACAGTGAACAAACAAAAATCAAGCCAAAGATCTTTGCCGTTCAGCCAGCAAATGGGTACTGTGTGCTGTTCGTTGTTTGATCAATTTGTCCTCTTCAACATATTTTAAGACCATTACGACATATTTAGTAATCAGTGGTTAACACCCCTATTGATTTTTTAAGTAAGCATTTTGGTGGTACTGGTACATTTTAATTCAAACAAGAACACGGCATCAACACTAAAAATACTGCTGATAACTAGAATTTTAGGTAATTAAGAAAGCTGAACAAAGTTATTGGGCTTTATTTCTTTTTCATCTTCTCCTTGCAAACAGGTTCTTATTTTAAAGACTGGTGTACTATACTTTTTAAACTGTTATTTACTAGCCGTATGTAGATACATTTATTTTATTAACTGAAGGTGCAATATTTATCCATCATTGATTGTGACGATCTCACTGATCTTTATCCTAGTGATGTGAATTTGCTATGATATCAATATTAAGGGAAAGGGAAAACTTAAATTGGTCATTTTGTTACCAGGATAATTACCTGGTATGTTGAAGTTTGTTGATTATGCTATTTATACAGGGTTGTCAAAAGATTCCTAGCAATTGGTGCCTTTCAACACCTACTGAAAAGCATGCCGGCTGTCGTGAATGCTTGTGGCACAAGTTTCAGCATTGAAGCATGACCTTGTGTGGCCTATTTTGAATCCCAAACTCATAACTCAAATTCTTTTTTGACAATCCTGTTACATGAGTGTTACATTAGTGGATAGAGTATTCTACAGATGTGTCCTCTCTGTTCAGTTGGACCATTTCCTATTTATCCAAAATCAGTAATAGCAGGTTGCGCTCGATACTAGAGCAGTAATTTTCAAAATGGATGCAGAGAAATTAATTTTGTTGGTGTCCGTGAAGAGGAAGCCACTGACTAGAGAGAAACTCTATTGTTCTGATAATCCCCCAAGTACCTCTAGTAACACAATTAGTCTCCTCAGGCTCGGTTATTATAGTCAATTAGTCGCCATGGTCTTGTCTGAGGGATTAATTTGACAATATTTGTCTCTTCTGGGGCAGAGAATTGGCCTATGGCCATCTTTGAATATTTGTGAATCGTCTCAAGTGTGTGATAAATTAAGTGAAAGCTAACATGTGATTAGATACTTAATCTGCATGTTGTCTTAAAGAAGATTGAGAAAGGAAACTTTACCATTTCGTATCTTCATGTCCATGTAAAACCATTTTTTCTTGTTTTTAGTATCCTACAGAGAAAAGTACGTTGATAGATAATCTGAATTGGACAATTTTAAAATTCTGTTCTCCTGATCCTTCAGTCATTTGGACAGTTTCCCAGATACTTCAAAGCAATGATAAATTATTACTGAACTATTAATTATCAACTAAGCATTCATTTTGCGTAAATAATCCAGCGTGTTAATCAATACATCTCAAAATAAAAGACTTTTCACAATATCTCCATGTTCAAACCCAAATGTGCTGGCATAATGATTAATTCCTTTGCTAAAAGATTGACCATTTTATCTTTTAAGGGGGTGGGGAAGGGGATGAAAGTATCATCAAAAAATTACTCTCCTGGAAAAGAAAATCAAAGAAAATATTTGTCTCACAAAACTGCTAAAAACAGCAACATTTATTATAATTTTACCCCTCCATAACTAAAATGGTTCATAGTCCTCAATGTCTAATATATTGTCCATTGTCAAAGAAAACAATTGTGACTGTATCTATATCAAGGTAATATTCTCTAGTTATTTGTTACACCAAGGCTGAAAAAATTTAAATGTGAACGGGAAAGAATATGGTCTTTCCTATTTCAGAGATATGTACCCAATAATAATCAAACTTGTACAGAAAAGACAACAATCTCTTGTTACTGTAAATAGTTTTAAGTATTTTTACTACGCATTTATCATATTGTTGTTATATTCTACAATTCGATGTCTTACGATTCGCATTTATCGCGGTCTGTAAATAGAGTTCTTCTGATACAGCTCGGTAAGAGCTCCTGAATTAACGAAGCTTTTATCCAGGTCCCGCACTTGCCCAAGGCAAGAGAGGGCCCTGGGTACGGCAATGAATAAAACCATATCATCCGTTTGAAAATAAGAAAAGGTTGAACTATTAAACTTGGAAACGTCTATGTAGTTATACATGTGTGCTGTGATCTGTTATCCTTATTACGGAAACGAACCTTTCGAGTGCGTTACATGTTTAAGGAGATGGAACAAACTCTTTCGGAGTGATTTGTTATAAGGAACGTTTCCTGGCGACGCGCGTGTTTTTTACGCGCCACTCACTCCACTCTGCCTGTCACGTTCGGTGCGCGCCTCATTATTGACCACCTTCGTGGTTGTATGCATGTGTGATCAAAGCCTTCAAAGATTCCATGTTATCTGTAATGAACTCTCGCATACTTTAATAGAGGCGCGCGAAATCCCCGTGCAGCGGCTGCGCCAACGAGCGCCTGCGCTTAAGTCCTGCTAAGAAACGTTTATCGTTTCTTCTTCTATCATGGTTGGAATGCGTTCATATTAAAAGCTGTACCTTTCTTACTCCGCTATGATCGTAAACGTGACCGAAGAAAGTTTACAAAATGCAATTGGAGTTTACCCCTTCAGCCTTAACATCAGTATCCATATTCTCAATACTCTTCCCTATAAATTCCTGTTGATAACAAGGAGAATATGTGTAACAATCAAAGCCTCGTAGGTTGTCTGGAATTACCTTTCTTCTCATGATTTTTTATAGATGATTAAGCAGAATTACTGTAAGGAGAAATAAGATGCTGGACACTCTTAGGACTAAAAGGGTTAATAAGTCCTCTCTAAGCATCTCTCTCTTTGCCCGCGTGTACTGATTTGATTTACGAGAACCCGCATCACAGGTCGAATTCAAACTGGCGTCGCCAGCCATAGAAGTAAGGGAGGCAGGGAATTAAGGTGACAAAGAGTGTGTTATTGTTACCCTTTTGTTTTTTAATTCTAATATTTTAAGCGTACAAAGGCTAAACAGCGATCAGTTTACAGTTACTCAAAAAATATGATAAATCAATACAATACTGCACCGCCCGAATAACAATTAAGCCAAAAGAGAAGACAACTAAAACAAATCGGCATCTTATATTCCCATTTTTTCTTAGTTTATCGGGCGTTAGACTCAACAGCTCTTGCTGGGTGTCGACAAATATCTGTGACGCGCGTTTATCTTTCGATCGTTTGTGCTAAACAGACCAAACCGGCAGGCTACATGTAATTTACGGAAAAGCTGACGAAATGGACAATAGTTGCAATGCTAAAAGTGACAAAGACTAATTAGCTACTTGTACATTGATCTCGCACAAGCCAAGTGGTACATTACAGACAAGTTGAACTGAATAAATCTCCTTCACTTTCACATCATGGCAAGTGTTGGAGAGCATTTGGTAGACTGTTGTCTCGTGCTGTCTAGCGACGCAGTCGGCATCTCCAACTTGTGTTAACTGGCCGATTTTTCGTTTGCTTACAGCTTCTTGTGAGGAGGAAACTAGCTTTGGATAAGTCTTGCGGAAAACCTCTACGGCATCTCTCGCCTCTCCAACTGAAGCGGTTTCCTTTGAAATGATAATTTCGTCAATTTTCCTGTTGTTGTAAGTAGTTTTCAAAGTGAAACCTTGCGACAGCAGTGGGTTTTTGGAACGCATTGCGTAAAGCTTGTATTTGGAGACCTTTGACATACGCTTATCCCTGATTGTGACTGTAAAAGACTCTTGGAAGAACTGTTCCTCATCTCTGTAAGCTTATGAGAAGAAGAAAAGAACAGCAAATTGACAAATCGATCCAGTTTTTCCACAATTCTGTTCAGTTCTAGATGACTCAGAAGAAGTTTTAATGCGATAACGACAGAAAAAGTGGCAACCGAACCGAAGGCGAGGAAGTTACTAATATCCGTTGTTATTTGTGCTACAATTACAACTGAAATTGACTCACTTGAATCCTTAAATTGTATCTCAATGGGCCAGTGATCACTCACTTTCTTCGCCTGCAGAAAACAGTAATGCAGTATGTTAATTAACAGCAACATTGCTTAACATTCTCGATTTATGAACCTCACTTTTGACCAAGACTCCGCGCAATGTGTAATCGAATGCACCGAATAATTTCAAGGAATGATTCTGGATGATGTTTTACTAAATATGTAGCAGTCTCCTCTCAACAGATGTCTACCGATGTCAGCAAACACTATGAAGACGACTTAAACACAAAATTGACTCAATGAACTTACTATGGAAAATCACCTAACCTTGTCGACAGATCGAAACTTCTTGAGTCAACCAATACAGCAGTTTTCAATTGCGTGTCGAAACAACAAAACCAAAGTAATCACGACTGACAATCAGGAAAAAGGTTAAAGTCAACATCAACCAATGCGAACTCTAAGTAAAAACAGGTAACTTGCTTGAAGCGCGCGAAAACGCGGGTGACCAAGTTGAGATTGGTTTTAGCTCTGCGTTTGATTGGTCGAGATAATAGCGCGCGTTTTCTGGCGACAGACAACAGTCCTTCCCTACACGATCAAACAACAGGATGGAACCTTCAAGAGAAGCGGAACGCTGGAAAACCTTAATAAAATCCTTCATCTGAGGACAACCCGATGCAGACCTTTCTACGCTGGTTTGGTAAACATTTTTAACTTATGGAGTCATCTATAACTCCATCAAAACCTCTTATCGTTGCATAAGAATAATGTACCTCATTCTGACTCAATCCATAAGCATCTTTGTAATTAAACACGTAGGCGCTGTCTGGAAAGATTCCTCTGGTCATGTTATACCCGGCAACTACCATCCTTTAAAATACAAACAGCAAGGGTTAAAACCATGATATTACACGCTATAGTACCTGAAAGATGATAGTATTTCGTTTTCTTTGATAGGTTTTGCGTTCAGGCGAGTTTTCGACGTGAAACCATGCGCGAATGACACTTTCTTCCAGGGACAAAGAAAGAAATTTTGAGCTCCTATGAGGAATCCAACCTCAGACCCTTGGATTCCGTGATCTGACGCTCTACTTGTGAGCCATAGACTCTCTGTATAGGATACTTTGACTCTATCAGCTGAATTTAATTTGGCCACGATAAAGAGGTTCTGAATCTGACGTTTCGAACGTTAGCCCGTTGTGAGAGTGCTCTGACGAAGGATAAACGCTCGAACGGTGAGCTTTAGAAACTCTATACGGTAGCCAATGCACATTATTAACTCAGTTAGTTGTCTTTACCAAATTTACCTGTCATACGGGCAATCGGACTTCGCAACTGTAGTGTCCATCAGATCAGAAAAGAGCCAATAGAATCGCTTGTCCGTTGCTAGCCTTATTTTATGCCACTCTGACCTGGTTACATAGCTGCAGCCGGCGTTATAGTCGCCCAAAATCATGACGTCTTTCAATTGCCATCGTTGTACAATGTCGTCGTAAACGTCGACCAAATGGTCGATTTCTAACTCTGCAGCTTTTGGGGAAGTGTGTATGGCAGCCATAGCAAAGTCTGACACATCTAAATAAAGAAAAAGGCATCTCTTTGTCAAAATCATCTCGGCTTCGATATTCCTCTCCTTTCCCTAACAATGCACAACATTGTATTCTAAAATGAATGTCCTAGAAAATCGACTGCACACACATGGACAAAGGTACGCTGAACAGAATCAAACCCATTTTATTCTACTTGCAAACCTTATTACTGGCGCGCACCGCTCCTTCATCACTCGCGGATGAGTAAGAGTCTTTGCTTTACACACGATTCACTCGCGTACACAGCGCGATTGTTGACAAAACTACGCTTGCGTTATCTACACACGTTCTCATAGCTATTTGGCAGAACATTGATACAATCAAATTTTCCTCATTTCAAACGGAATTAATAGGCAAAAAAAATGTAACTTACATGCTCCTTTGGCTTGGAAACGGACAACAAAAGGTTCTCTTTCAAATGTGTCTTGATTGTCATGATACACATAGCTGTCCGTAACAGTTACCTTGTCACTCCTAGTGGTGAAAAAGACAGCTTGATATTAGTCTTTCATCATATACTTCCATTTTCATATATCGAACCTTTCTTCAATCAAACAACCTGAGTAAGGGGCATGCAAATCACAAAAAAGTCGCACAGGCGATCTCGGTCTGGAGGACCTGGTTCTGTTTATAACTGAGGGGGGGGGGTACTCTTCTATACTGACAATTGTCGTGTATTAATAACGCGCTAATAACTTATATTTTGATTTAAGATTGGTGATATCGTTTTTGCTGTTGCCCAGTCATGACCACGCCCCTTCCCTCCCCCCTCTTGCCCAGTAAACTTGAAACGTATAAAAAAAAAAACATTTTCATGGGGTCTAAACCAAAAAGCATTCTGTCCAATTTAAGCACCATCCTTCACAACACCTATTAACTCAAAGGAGAATCAAAGTGTTCCTTACAAATCGGCTTTGAGCTAGTGTTAACATAGAAGACGGATTAGTGTAGGTTATGCATCTTAGCTCACCTGTATAAGAATGCATACTGCTCCTTGCTGGCTGTGCGACCAAGCCTGACACTCAACGCCATCTTATAGACGCCGGGGGGAGATGAAACCCTGACATAGAGCAAAAGAGAAACAAAGACTCTTAACGAGCTCTTCGCATTTTCTTTATAAAATACGTAACTGATCTGGAATGAATTAAGGATAGTACATATGAAAACTGAGATAAAAGTTACTTTACAAATGCATCTTAAAAACGCTCAAATTTTGCATTTTGCCTGAGTATGTGTGGGACGCAGTCGGTATCCTGGGGGTCACCCTGCGATGAGCTAGCATCCTATCCAGGAATAGGAATACTCTTAGGTAGAAGGCAGAGAAAGGAGGGGGGGGGGTTGGAAGAAGGAAGGAAAAAGTGAAGAAAAACTCTGGTGCAGCTTGAGCACATAACTGGAATAAGTTATCTAGGGAGAAGGCAGGTGAAAAGATGAAGGTTCCCTTTAGATTGTCGATAAATATTACTTGACGAGTAAAATAAAGTTAATGAGTTAATTCATTACTTGTTGACATCCGCCAACAGCTCGTTTATTGGTCCCTCGTTCTTTGAACGAATTTCTTGAATCAGTATGATATCATACCTCAAAACCACCTGCAAAAAACATCAAACGTCAACGAAAGATTCATATATATATATTTACGCTCATCAAAAGCGAACGAGGTGATGGAGAAGAAATTCTCCTGGCGTTGGCTGGATGTGGAAGTTCCACTTCAGTGAACTTTTGTTCTCGAGGCGAGCGGAAGTCTATTTACACAGACGTCTGTAGAAGTCCTAAATGTAATAGCTGTCCTAAATGTATTAACATTTGGTCCTAAATGTGATAAGCCCGTTGCACCAAGGAATCCTTTGACCAATGTGACATGAATACTGGTCAGAGGAATTTTTGATGCAACAGCTGTCACTTTAACATCTCAATATGGATGCCCGGTATAACAACAATGCACTGGCGGGGTTAAACGATTGCATTGGAGGATTATTACATTTAAGACTAAATGTTACTACATTTAGGACCAAATGTTATTACACTTAGGACAGTTATTACATCGGATCAATATCAGTATCTGGGCAACTGCCCACCTACCCCTCCCCTAACTCAACAACAATCAATTGATAACAACTTAGGGTTGATGTTGGGTTAGGGGAGGGGTAGGTGGGCAGTTGCCCAGATACTGATATTGATCCTCTAGGCCTTCAACAAACGTCGGCACTGTGAACATCGGATCGAGGCACCCTTTAGGTGAACGTCTCAGGAAACAGACATCGGCTCAAGATACTAAGTACAGTCGAACTCTTTTTCACTAATAGTGAAAAATACCTTGACTAATATGTCTCTGACCAAACGATTTGCCATTTTTCTGTACCCAAATATTTGGACGTTAAATGTTGCAATCTTCAGAGCTGCTCCTTCAATCGTGTCAACTGGAGATGTTTCACTAGAGCATAGACATAACAAAAAGAAGAAATGAGCATTTTTATCATTCCATTAATTTCGTGCATATAATCAAAAATTACGTCTGGCCCTTTGAGGATTAAAAAATCAGAATATTTTGGCCAAACTAGTCAGAGCTCAGGTTCTTTTCATGATCTTGGGTTAAACCATTTGAAACACGGGGAGTGAGTGTTAGAAAGGGATTTTATTATAATGCAAAAAATTGCGCGGTAAACAAATCAAGAATGACTTTCTTTATTTTTGAGTGCTGGCAAAGAAAGCAGGTTTTTGTAGCACAGTTAACTCAGGAACTCGTTTTATGTTTCCTTTATTTTGAGTGTGTTCTGTCGCTTTTGCGACTCCCTTGCTGTCATTGTCCGCAAATTGCGAACTCTGTAAGTAGACTGCTAGCGCGCGGAATCGAAGCGGGCAATCACGAGTAGGCAAGATTGGGCCCATCTTGCCCGTTTGGTGAGCCAGTCAGAACACAGGATTCGCTTCATCTTGCCCACGGGCGCAGTCAGCCACATAAATTAAAGTTGCACATGCAGAAAGCTTAATTGCAAAACAATATACATACTCATTGCACACTCACCATAACTCTGCATAAAATCCGATGGCCATGAGGCAAGATATTAACCAAAGTAGTTTGCCCATTCTTGCAGTAGCAACACTCCTTTCTAACGATCTGGCAATATACAAATACAGGTTCATATTTCAGGTGAAGTGAAATATATCAAAAGGCTGAGAAGGGCGTAACTGTAATGTGAACTGACCAGAAACACGTAAGATATGAAGCCTTTTTGTCCGTCTCCCTTCAACCGGAAATTAAAGCTACGGCAAACGTCCTCTTCTGTCGAAGTTTCAATGGCTCCCTTAAAGCGAGGGAAGCAAAATATATTTCTAAATATCTGAGTTTAAGAGCACGCGATTTCAACCTTGCAGCAAAGGTTTAGCGGGCGGCTTGATCGTCTGGGTGAGAATGTGAGTCTTCTTATTTTTACTTACGTCCGAACGATCAGGCTTGAGAATTAATATCTGGATTATTCTGCAAACTACCTCCTACAAAAATTACAGCAAAACGCATGTTACATCTTACAGTCCAACTGTATGCAAAGGGTGGAGGAGCCTTGAACACGCTAGAAGTCAACTCAACGCCCCTCAACCGCGACTGGTATTCAAATACACGGACATTAGTATAACGAATTGATTATTCATGGTGCGCGTATTACAAGAGCCGTTGTTCAAAACAAGCGCAAAACCATCTACACACCGAAAGGAAGACAGGATTTCAATAATTTTCGACTATGGACATTCATATGCTCCACACAAGAACAGTTTTACTCATTGCAACTGCGCGCAAACAGAGTAACGATGTAAACTGTGTGGAAGAATTCATTCATGAGTACTTATCCCGACTCGACCAACACCAATACCGCAACCGACAAAGAGATAATTCAGTTATATACTGCTACACATTTTCCGCACTTTTGTGGCAATTTTCGAGAATGGTTTTTCGAAAGAGACCATGAAAGTTCGTGACTTAAGGGTTTTTCCACGGTAAATTCAATTGATTTTAATTCCTACCTTTCGCAGTCGGAATCAGAAGGATTTCTGTCCTTTAAATAGAGGAAGAAGACTTCTAGTTTCTCGTTTCAATGTTTACCTCTGATATCTGTGGCACTGATGTGATATAACCGCCTGATCACGTACAGATTTATGATAATAAACTTTTTGAAAAGGGAGTGACCTTTGTTAAATTGCTGCTCATAAAGGAATCTATCATTTTGAGTCTGCGTAGTATCCCAACCACTTGAATATGTGATTAAAATATGTCTGGGCGAGACAGTCATTTTCAAAGTGAATTAACAGCTAGGTTTAACTGAGATTTTTCCAAGGAATGTTACAATGAGATAAAAACTGTGAAAAGAGGTTGGAAGTTTTAGAAGAAAACATGTTTTCCTTCGGTTAGATGACCGAATGATATATGTAAATTATAAAACATGCACAAAGTTTCGAGTAAACTTGATCAGGATTCAGTCTGCAGCAAAAACAAAGCGTTGTGTGTGCATTGTTTAAAATACGACTATGTTCAGACTTAAAAATAGAACTACGATGATACGTTGGTACCACTAGTCTGCTGCAAAAAAGTGAGAGCAATATCTGATAACAAGGAAACTGAGAATAATACTCACATGCAGTGTGGCTTGTGGCAACGACTTGTGATGTACACTGTTTCTGTGAAAATGGCCTAACTGCCAGAAAGTATTCGTAATATGCTTAAGCAAATAAAAGCCTTGGGCTATTTTCGATTGACTGTATGTAAGTGGACACAGCTTCAATCAACCCATAAATGGGCTGGAAACAATTTTGTGGATTAAAAGCAGCATACGGTTTACTTTCATATACATATCAGAGGTCATTCACACACCTCAGCATGTAATTGCTCTGAATAACTAGAATCGTGGCTGAATAACCTTTTTTGGTTCTGAAATGTGTTGGCAACTTCTACCTTAAGGTGCTCAATCTCTTGAAAAGTAAGAAATCACATTTTACGATAGGAAACCACTCGATTTAATGACTAAAATTAATTATTTCCTTGGTAAACAGCAAAAGTTAATAGAGTGTTAAAACATGCTAGAGACATGTTGTTTGGAAGTCAGAGGGAAACTTAATGAACAAATTTCATGGAGACATAAAACAGCGAGACACGTCAGAAATGTTTTGTAGGATCTATGAGCCCACTTGTTGGACGCCGCACTTAAGAGTCACGCGATGTGGCAGAGAAACCTCACTTTCAACCTAGTTCCCAGGATCCTCCTTCTTTCTCCCTCGAAAAAGTACTCTACTTTCTCGAGGGAGGAAGAGAGGACCTCGGGAACGAGATTGCATCACTCTAATAAATGGTGAGAAAGTATGTGCCCTTGTTACAGTCAAGGGAAGTGTGCTGAACGTTCAGCTTAAAATACCGCCACTTTCAAGACAACTCAGTAACCCGGCTGCATACGCTTGCCATCCCAAAATTCAACTCTGATGGCGAGAACCAAAACTTACGAAAGACAAACATGTCATTAGAATGTCGGTACATGTCGTTAGAATGGCAGGCAGCTAGTTTTCAAGTCCTCGGCAGTCTCATGTTCCACGGGAGATGCGGATTGCCCGTGGAAAATTTGAAGTTCTAGAGTCTTTCTGTGGCATTTGCGACAAGACGAAAAACATCTTTCTTTAAGGAGAATTTGTTTAACAATCAAAGCCCCTATCATGATCTCTATGGATGATTAAGTAGTATTACTGTGAGGAGAAATTAGATACTGGTCACTCTTAGGACTAAAAGGGTTAATAAGTCCTCTCTAAGCATCTTTCTCTTCGCCTGCCTGTTCTGATTTGATTGACGAGAACCCGCATCACAGGTTACATTCAAGCTGGCGTCGCCAGCCATAGAGGTAAGGGAGGCAGGGAATTAAGGTGACAAAGAGTGTGTTATCGTTACCTTTTATTTTTTAATTTTAATATTTTAAGCGTACAAAGGCTAAACAATGATCAGTTCACAGTTACTCAAAAAATATGATAAATCAATACAATATTGAACCTCCCGAATAAGAATCAAACCAAAAGAGAAGACAACTAAAACAAATCGGCATCTTATATTCCCATTTTTTCTTAGTTTATCGGGCGTTAGACTTAACAGCTCTTGCTGGGTGTCGACAAATATTTATGACGCGCGCTTATCTTTCGACCATTTGTGCTCAACAGACCGTCAAACTGGCAGGCTACTTGAAATTTACGAAAAAGCTTAATTAGCTGCTTCTACATTGATCTCGCACAAGCCAAGCGGCACATTACAGACAAGTTGAACTGAATAAATCTCCTTCACTTTCACATCGTGGCAAGTGTTGGAGAGCATTTGGTAGACTGTTGTCTCGTGCTGTCTAGCGACGCAGTCGGCATCTCCAACTTGTGTTAACTGGCCGATTTTTCGTTTGCTTACAGCTTCTTGTGAGGAGGAAACTAGCTTCGGATAAGTCTCGCGGAAAGTCTTTACGGCATCTCTCGCCTCTCCGACTGAAACAGTTTCCTTTGAGATAATGATGTTTTCCATACCACGTTTGTTGTAAGTAGTTTTCGCAGTGAAACCTTGCGACAGCAGTGGGTTTTCGGAACTCATCACGAAAAGCTGGTCTTCGGAGACCTTTGATATACGCTTATCCCTGATGGTGACTGTAACAGACTCTTGGAAGAACTGTTCCTCATCTCTGTAAGCTTATGAGAAGAAGAAAAGAACAGCAAATTGACAAATCGATCCACAATTCGTTTCAGTTATAGATGACACAGACAAAGTTTAAATGCGATAACGGCAGAAAGGTGGCAACCAAGCCGAAGGCGAGGAAGTGACCAATATCCGTTGTTATTTGTTCTACAATCACAACTGAAAATTGACTCACTTGAATCCTTAAATTGTATCTCAATGGGCCAGTGATCACTCACTTTCTCCGCCTGTAGAAAACAGTAATGCAGTATGTTAATTAACAGTAACATTGCTGAACATCATCAATTCATGAACCACATTGTGCGCAATGTTTAATCGAGAGCAACGACTACTTTCAGGGGATGACTTTGGATGTCGGTTTTTAATTATGTAGCAATCTCCTCTCAACAGATGTCTACAGATATCAGCAAACACCATGAAGACGACTTAAACACGACATTGACTCAACGAACTTACTATGGAAAATCGCCTAACCTTATCGACAGATCGAAACTTCTTGTAACCAATACAGCAGTTTTCAATTGCGTTTCGAAACAACAACTAACTATCAGGAGAAAGGTTAAAGTCATCATTAACCAATGAGAACTCGGAGTAAAAACAGGAAACTTGCTTGAAGCGCGGGAAAACGAGGGTGACCAAGTTGATATTGGTTTTAATTTTGCGTTTGATTGGTCGAGATGGTGGTGCGAGTTTTCTGGACCAATCACAGAGCGAGGTGAAGCAAACCCAAACCAATCCCAGATTAGTTTCGATATTCGATTAAAAAATTGCCAATCAGCAACAAAAACCAGTCTTATGACGCAGTTAAACTCTGGTAGCGAAAATTTCATTGCTATACTCTTGTAATATTTTTCGTTCAGGTTGACGTCAAGGTGTCAGTCACTTTAACAGACAACAGTTCTTTTCAAGACTACTCTCGCCCGAACGATCAGACTACGCGATCAAACAGAGAAGCATTTTGCTCTTCAAGAAGAAGAACAAAATCCTTCATTTAAGGAGAACCCGATGCAGACCTTTCTACGCTGGTTTGGTAAACATTTTTAACTTATGGAGTCATCTATAACTCCATCAAAACCTCTTATCGTTGTATAAGGATAATGTACCTCATTCTGACTCAATCCATAAGCATCTTTGTAATTAAACACATAGGCGCTGTCTGGAAAGATTCCTCTGGTCATGTTATACCCGGCAACTACCATTCTATAAAAAACAAATAGCTATAGGGTCATAACGATGATATTAAATGCTCTTGTACCTCAGAGATGATTATATTTCGTTTTCTTTGATAGGTTTTGCGTTCAGGCGAGTTTTTGACATGAAACTTTGCGCGAATGACACTTTCTTCCAGGGACAAAGAATGAAATTTTGAGCTCCTCGAAGGAATTCAATCCGGATTCCATGATCCGACGCTCTGCCACTGAGCCACAGACTCTCTGTATAGGATACTTTGACTTTATCAACTGAGTTATAAATTCAAAAAAATCTGACGTCTTGAGCGTTAGCCCGTTGTGAGAGTGCTCTGACCAAGGATAAACGCTCGAACAGTGAGCTTTAGAAACTCTATACGGTGGTCAATGCACATTATCAACTCAGTTGATATATGTTGTTAACCACTCCCCCCAACCACCGAGGCAACACCACATTTTCTTTACAAACATACCACTATTACACTTTGCTTTAATTTTGCAGATCGGCGTTCAGTTTTTTAAGATCTTGATCACCTATTTTTCATTGACTTTATCATTGCCATTATCGTTTATATTATTATAATATTATCTCTATTATTATTAGTAATGTCTTTACCAAATTTACCTGTCATACGGGCAATCGGACTTCGCAACTGTAGTGTCCATCAGATCAGAAAAGAGCCAATAGAATCGCTTGTCCGTTGCTAGCCTTATTTTACGCCACTCTGACCTGGTTACATAGCTGCAGCCGGCGTTATAGTCGCCTAAAATCATAACGTCTCTCAATTGCCATCGTTGCACAATGTCGTCATAAACGTCGACCAAATGGTCGATTTCCAACTCTGCAGCCTTTGGTGAAGTATGTATGGCAGCCATAGCAAAGTCTGACACATCTAAATAAAGAAAAAGGCAATTCTTCGTCAAAATGATCTCAGCTGCGACACCGTCTGACTTTCCCCCCTTTTACATAACAAACATGCATAACATTGTGTTCTGAAAACGGACCTCCCAAAAATATCGACTGCGCACACTCGGACGAAAGTACGCTGGAGAGTCCGTTGGAAAGAATCAAACCTGTTTTATTCTTCTCACATATAACACTACTCGCGCGCACCGTTCCTTTATCACTCGCCAATAAGCAAGAGTCCTCACGTGACAAACGATTCACAAAAACAATGTAACTCACATGCTCCTTTGGCTTGGAAACGGACAACAAAAGGTTCTCTTTGAAATGTGTCTTGGTTGTCGTGATACAAATAGCTGTCCGTAACAGTTACCTTGTCACTCCTGGCAGTCAAAAAGACAACTTGATATTGGCTTTTATCATATACTTCCATTTTCAAATATCAAACCGTTTTTGAATCAAACAACCTGAGTCCGGTAAGGGGCAGTCAAATCATAAAAAAGTCGCTCAGGCGATCTCGGTCTGAAGGGCTTGGTTCTAGTTTAATACTGAGGGGGCTACTCTTCTACACTGACAACTGTCATATATTAATAACGCGCTAATAACATATATTTTGATTTAAGATCGGTGATATCGTTTTTGCTGTTGCCTAGTCACGACCACGACCCTTCCCCTTCCCCTCCCCCCTCTTGCTCAATAAACTTGAAAGGTATCAAAAGAAACATTTCCATGGGGTCTAAACCAAAAGCATTCTGTCTGATTTAAGCACCATCCTTCACAACACCTACTAACTCAAAGGAGAATCAAAGTGTTCCTTACAAATCGGCTTTGAGCTAGTGTTAACATAGAAGACGGATTAGTATAGTTTATATAACATAGCTCACCTGTATAAGAATGCATACTGCTCCTTGCTGGCTGTGCGACCAAGCCTGACACTCAACGCCATCTTATAGACGCCGGGGGGAGATGAAACCCTGACATAGAGCAAAAGAGAAACAAAGACTCTTAACTAGCTCTTCGCATTTGCTTTATAAAATACGTAACTGATCTGGAATGAATTAAGGATAGTACATATGAAAACTGAGATAAAAGTTACTTTACAAATGCATCTTAAAAGACGCTCAAAGTTTGCCTTTTGCCTGAGCATGTGTGGGACAGGAATGGGAGTACTCTTAGGTAGAAAGTAGGGAAGAGTGGGGGGAGGGGAGGGGGGGAGAAAGAAGGAAAAAGTGAAGGAAAACTCTGGTGACTCTGGTGCAGCTTGAGCACATAACTGGAATAAGTTATCTAAGGAGAAGGCAGGTAAGAAGATGAGGGGTCCCTCCAGATTGTCGATAAATATTACTTGACGACTAAAATGAAGTTATTAAGTTAATTCATTACCTGTTGACATCCGCGAACAGCAAGTTTATCGGTCGATCTCTTTTTGAACGAATTTCTTGGATCAATATGATATCATACCTTAAAATCACCTGCAAAAAACATCAAACGTCAACGAAAGATTCATATATATTTACGCTCATCAAAAGCGAACGAGGCGATAGAGAGGAAACTGTCCTTGCATTGGCTGGATGTTGAAGTTTTACTTCAGTGATATTTTGTTCGGAAGTCAATTTACACAGACTTCCGCACTGTGAATATCGGACCGAGGCACCTTTGAGGTGAACGTCTTAACAAACAGACATCGGCTCAAGATGTCCCCCTCTCTCAGGCTGTCAGCTGTCAAACTCCCGAATTTCTTTCCTCTCAATCACTGTAATTTTAATTTTCACCTCTACTTAGCGGTCGCGGTGACCTTTTACTAAGTTTCAACGGTATTTAGTTATGGTCCTCAACCTATATTGAACGGTTATAGAAAGCGGCCCACTCTGATGAAACTCAGTATAATATTTCAAGTAATTTTTTGTCCATCTTTCTCTGCCAAAATCAAAGTGAGTGGTATTTGCGAGCGAGATTTTGTACTTTAAGCGGCTAGTTATGGTATTAAGTGGAGCTTTTTTTTAGTCTTTTATAATACCCCTTAAACGATAGGACCTGTATTAAGCAGTAGGTATATGGTTGACCGTGAGTAATCGTATTTGGCCCATATGAGAGACATAAAAAAGAGTCCTCTCGGAATTTAGACTTGGATCGCAAAAGAGACAGTAAAATTTTTGCATGTATATAGGAAGCCAGTGTAAGAGTTGGGCCCATTTTTTCCCAGCAAAACGAGACAGCAATTGAAGTTTTGAGCAAGGATGTAAACGATATTCACTATGAATAGTTCTATTTTATCATTCTTTTTATAAATATGACGGTTTTTAAATAATCACCTCCCCTGAAAAAAAAAACAAACAAACAAACAAACAAAAAAAACACACACACACACACACACACGTTAGCCGCTACGCCCCGCAGCCCTTGATCGAGAAAAATATGGCGTTTTAAGGCATGAACTATAAGCCTCCATCTGTGACTTCCAGTTCCATTACTGAACCCTTTTTAATGCACTAACATCGAAAAATACCTTGACTAATATTTCTCTGACCAAAGTATTTGCCATTTTCTTTGACCCAAATATTTGGACGTTAAATGTTGCAATCTTCAGAGCTGCTCCTTCAATCCTGTCAACTGAAGATGTTTCACTAGAGCATAGACATGAAAAAAAAGAGAAATGAACATTTTTATCATTCCATCAACTTTGTGCACATAATCAATACTTACATCCGGCCCTTTGAGGGGTAAAAAAAAAGAATATTTTAGCCAAACTAGTTAGAGTTCAGGTACTTTTCATGATCTTGGGATGAACCATTTAAGACAAGGGAAGTGAGTGTTCAGTGAATGATTTATTCTAAAGCCAGAAGATTTTGCTGTAAACGAATTAAAAATGACCTGTTTATTTTTGAGGACTGGAAAAGAAAGCTGGATTTTGTAGCACAGTAAACTCAGGAAACTCATTTTACGTCTCCTTTATTTTGAGTGTGTTCAGTCACTTTACGACTCCCTTACCTTCATTGTCCTTTGTAAGTAGACTCCACGCGCGCGGAATCAAAGCGAGCAATCCCGAACAAGCAAGATGGCTCCGCCTGCCCGCTTGGTGAGCTAGTCAGAACACAGGATTCACTTCATCCTGCCCATGGGCGCTGCCAGCTACATAAATCAAAGTTGTACATGCTGAAAGCTCAGTTGCAAAACAATATTCATACTCATTGCACACTCACCATAATTCTGCATAAAATCCGACGGCCATGAGGCAAGATATTAGCCAAAAGAGTTTGCTCATTCTTGTAGACTTTGTTGCAACACTTCTTTCTAACGATCTGGCAAAGTGCAAATACAGGTTTATACTTCAAGTGAAGAGGAATATATCAACCGTGAACAAATTAATAAGGAGGTAACTGTACCGTGAACTGACCACAGACACGTAGGATATGTTGTTTTTCTACCTCCTTTCAACCGGAAATTACTAAGTTACACCAAACGCCCTCTTCTGTCGAAGTTTCGATGGCGTCCTTGAAGAGGGCGTTTTGTTGAGTTAAAAATAGCAAACCTTGAGGGACAGTGTTTGTTCATGCTACCTGAACTGGAGACAACACACGTCCAAATACACACAATTATTTGCTTCCAAATAATTGTGTTACTGGGTTTCCCTCATAACAACACAAATCGCTTCAGTTGTTGTATAAATGATCTCCTAACCTGTTACAAGCTGATGTCTATGAGGGAAGCAAAAATGTATTTCTAAATATTTGAATTCAACAGCACGCGATTTGAACCTTACAGTTGAGCGGGCAGCTTGATCGTCTGGGTGAGAATGTAATTCTTCTCATCTCTGCTCACGTCCGAACGATCAGGCTTGAGAATTAATATCTGAATTATTCTGCAAAACACTTCCTACAAAAAGTACAGTAAAACACTTGTTACATCTTACCTTCCAGCTGTATGTAGAGAGTGGAGGAGCCTAGAACACGCCAGAAGTTAACTCAACGCCTCTCAACCGCTAATGGTAATTAAGTATACGGACATTAGTATAACGAATTGATTATTAATGGTGCGCGTATTACAAGACCCCTTCTCCAAAATAGGCGCAAAACCATCTACAAATCAGAAGGAAAACAGGGTTTCAATAATTTTCGACTTTGGACATTCATATGCTCCACGCAAGAACAGTTTTACTAATTGCAACTGCGCACAAACAGCGTAACGACTGTGTGGAATTTACTCATGAGCACTTATCCCGAATCGACCAACACCGACACCTCATCCGACAAAAATATAATTCTGATATATATTACTACCGTCATTATTTCGAAGTTTTGCGGCAATTTCGAAAATGGTTTTTCGAAAGTGACCTGGAAAGTACGTGACTTTAGTTTCTTCTACGGTTAAAGGAGAGTAGCAAGCGCTTCAATTTATTTTAATTCCTACTGTTCACAGCCGAATCAGAAGTATTTCAGTCCTTTAAATAAAAGGAAAAAGACTTCTAATATCTCATTTCATTTTTTTTACCTCTGATATCTGTTGTACTGATATGATATAATTGTCTGATCACATACAGATTTGTAACAACAAACTTTTTGAAAAGGGAGTGGCGTTTGTTAAATTGCTGCTAGTACAGGAATCTTTCATTTTGAGTCACTGCGTGGTATTCTAACGATTTGAATATGTGATTAAAATATGTCTAGGGGTGACAGTCATTTTCAAAGTGAATTAACAGCCAGGTTTAACTAGGATTTTACAAAGGAATGTTACAATGAGATAAAAACTGAGAAGAAAGGTTTAAAGTTTTAGAGGAAAACAGGTTTTTGTTCGGTTAGATGATCGAATGATATATGTAAATGATAAAACAAGCGCAAGAGAATAATACTCACATACAGTGAGCCTCGTGGCAACGACTTGTGATGTACACTGCTTCTGTGAAAATGGCCTAACTGTCAGAAACTATTCGTAATATGCTTATCAAGAACCCTGCTAAAAGCCTCGGGCAATATTGAACTATTTTCGATTGAGTGCATGTGAGTACACACATTTTTAATAAACCGATAAAGAGAAACCGGAAAGAATTTTGAGGGTTGAAAGCAACGGTTCACTTTCATACGCATATTAGAGGTTACTCACATGTCCAAGCATCTAATTGCTCAGAACAAAAAGAATCGTGGCTGAATATCCTTTTTTTGTTCTGAAATGTATTGGCGACTTTTACCTTAAGGTGCAGAATATTGTATTTTACGATAACGAACGACTCGATTTAATGACAAAAACAAGCAAACAGGAAAAGTTAAGTAGAGCGTTGAAGACACTTTAGAAACATTTTGTCAATCAAGTTTTAACTTTAATGTCATTAAAATTGCAAATTCTTTTGAAGCCAAATGAAAGCTCGATGAATAAATTTCATGGAGACTTAAACATCGAGACACATGTTTTTTTTAAGATCTATGACACCCACTTATTGGATACCATAATTAAGAGTCACGCGATCAGGTAAAGAAACCTCACTTTCAACCTAGTTCCCAGTGTCCTTCCTCTTACTTCGTACTCTAATATCTCACGGACGGAAGAGAGGACTTTGGTAACGAGATTGCCTCACTTTGATAAATGGTGGGAAACTCTGAGCCCTTGTTATAGGAAAGGAGAGCGCGCTCAGAGTTCAGCTTAGAACACCGCCATTTTAAAGACAATTCAGTAACCCGGCCGCACACGCTTGCCATCCCAGAATTCAACTCCGATGGCGGGAACCAAAACTTACGGTGTACAAACAGCTGAGGCTTGGTTCGTCGGCCGTTCTTTTAATTAGCCTTGAATCAAGTTCAAATTGAATTAATTTGAGCAGACAAGTTGTAAGTTGAAGTCTGTTGAGATGAGGTAAGGGGCCAGGTTGCTAGGTTACATTCAAAACGGCCGCATCCAGGCGACGTCGTCAGAGAGCTGTTTGGTTGCAGAAATTATTTGTCCGGGTATAAATGTCATAAATTAAGGTTTTATATTAGAGTTACCCCACTGAAGGTTTTAAAAAATGCTCTTCTCTCTCTCCTTTTTTCCTTAGCGCATATTGTTCCAAGAACTACGATCCCTCTGGTCAGTGTCACCTTACGATGAAAGGTCAGTACGTGATGTAATTGTCGCATAATGGTTTAAAATATTTCATAAGAGGTTTGGATTGTACTTTGGACTACATAGCGGCGCATTTTAGTATCCCAACGGTCGGTTGAAACCGATTTTTTCTAAAACTAAATTGGTTGATGACAAAAAATAGAGGCAAGATAGAAAATGAGATTTTGTGCAAGCTCGAAAAGTCCGTTTCTACCAAACCCTCTCGACATTATTGACTTTTAGTGCGTGTTCAGTTTGGCGGGAAAATCGTTTGAACAAAGCAATGTGTCTATCATCGATATGACTTGATTCGAGTTGATGCAAGCGAAGAAAAGTTCACGATCAGATCAACCGTCCGTTGTAAAACGTTTTTTTTTTTCCTTTTCTAACGTTTTTGATACTATCTAAAGAAGTATGAAATAATAAAGCTGGTATGAAATAAATGTTGACAATTTAGCATTTTGCTCTTACTTATGACAAAAGAACATTTTCATAAAACTTAAACATGATCAGAGAACTAAACTGCACTTAACACTACGCTTGCATTTTGTAACACGCACGTGAAGCACGCACATTACAAAGTCGCCTTAATTACATCACATTCACTTAAGGACAGCACGATTCTCTTCTAAAAGCTTATCGTGCATTCGGTACATAATAAGTTTTAGAATACTTTTATCAATCCGCTACTAAAATTCTTTTATATTGGTAACAACTTACAGAAAGCTGAAGAGTTTACAGAGTGACTTCGAGTTCGCGTGGGTCCCAGATTTTTACCACATAAGTCCGAAAAATGGCTGTTACAAAGGCAAAAGCTGTTTAACCAACGGTTATGGTGGTGCGCTCATGACAATGAGCTCGTTAAGCGATAAAAGACCGTGCATGTTATATTGATTGATCGTAAGATGTGAGAATCTAGAATACCCATTTAAAATGCGTTCAGGTAATTGGTTAAAATCGTGTCGCGCAACAACAAAAGTTTTGTTGACAAAGTTTCACTGTTTGATCATGTTTCTCTAAAAGTGCGAAAATATTGATACATAAAAGTTTGAGAGAGGCCTAAATCTGTTATAAAAAGTTTCGAAAATCATATCTTGACCTCGGAACCGTTCAATTTTCAATATAACTGTACAAATCAAATGATTTCGGGAAAGTCTAACACAATTATATGAGATGCAAATACGTCTTGCTGTTTTATGCTAATTTAAATCTGTTGTATCTCCGATCATCCGCATCGCCCAATAATTGAAAATAAAATCATGTCGAAAATCACTAACGATCCCAAACGACTGGCTTAAGTCATCGCCTAGATTTCTCCTTCGCGGCCGTTTTTTGGAATGTCACGCAATGCTCTCTCTCTTGCGGTAGGTGAGGGAGCTTGCATGACATCCTTAGCGGCTGCGAAGTTTACTAGAGTCTTTCCATAATCTCAAAATTGGGACCATTGGTTAATGATCCATGTGATCATGTGGAAAACAAGTTTTAGCCATCTCTCCCTGCGTTTGGCGTGTAATGTTTTGGTCCGATTTCCAATGGACCTTCTCTGAGCCAGCAGAGAACTCCATGTTTGAATGTACCAGGTTCTTGTCTACTCGTACAGTATCGCATCAAGAAACCCGAAGAACAAAGAATCTTAATCCTAGAGGGTAACTCAATTTATTCTTTCTCCTACGCTTGTTTCGTAACCATAAGGGCGAATACTAACGAAGAAAAATCAAACGTAATTAGCTTATGTCCAATTTAGATTTCTCCCTCCGATTTCGAGCACTTAAGTTTGTTTCAGACATCTCCTCCAATTTCAGATTGATCCGTGCCATTTGGACGGCTCTGCGCAATTTTAGTCCGTTTCTTCCAGTTCCGGTTGGTTCCGCCCGACTTCAGACGGGTTCTGTCCGTTTTCGAACGGTTGCCTCCAATTGCGGTTCCGCCCTATTTCGGACTGAAAGCGGCGTCAGCTCATGGAAAGTTCCGTCCGACTTCGGACTGTTGTACTTGGATTCGGACATTTCTGCTGGATTTCGAATACTTCCGTACGATTTCATATTCTTCCGTTCAATTTAGCAATATTCTGTCCAATTTAGCACACTTCCGTCTTATCTTAGACGCTTCTGTGTAACATCGAACGGATCCTTTCGACTTCGAGACTACTCTGTCCTATTGCACACACTACTGTCTAAGCACAGAAACTCTGTAGAGCATGAGAAATGATTTGAAAACGTAAATCGGGACTTAAAAAAAATATTATCACCATCGACAGATTGTCTACTGCAATAAACCTGGACTTGGCATCTAGAAATGGCATCTAAGAGTTTAATTCCGTGGGAAGAAAGTAGAGAAAATAAAACTTTTACCAATTGCACGTAGAGCTCAGCTGATCGCCCCATACGCTCATGAACAGGTATATTAAAAGCTTCCATGATATATTGCCCTCAGGTTCTTTTCCTTACTCGTCAGCGGCTTCTTCTTAAATTTTTTGGAAGCCTTCATTTGTTTATGAACCAACAAAGTCCATTTGCTGTACATCTGTTCAGTAATAGATCACAGATGACGTCAAACCGAGACAAGAATAAAAAAGTAACACACCAGGCGCAGCCAGGTGTGTCACTGAAGTTTTTATGATCTATTGCTGGAATCTACTTGTTTTAGGTAATAAAGAAGCTAAAAATGGTCATGGTGACGTCATTTATACCTCTTTCCTTCGATAGCTCATTAGCAAGAACCAATTAAAATGTGTGTATAATTTACCTTATTACAAAAATAAATTTAATTTTGAGCCAGAAAACACTCCGCATGCTGATCGACCTATTGGAAAGAGGATATTATTGTTGTATGACGCAAGCGCCCATATGTCTCCATGCTGTCGTGTGTTTGTTCAGCAACAGATCACAGACGACGTCAAAGTGTGGTTGGAACTAAAAAAATGTCCCTCGACGCACAGCTGAGTGTGACGATAATGTTCTTACCGAGGTAAAGTTGTTTAGAAAATAATCAGAAGGTAAACGAAAATCTGCTCGATTTCGAACGAGTTGGAGTGAGCGAGGGTTCGAGTTTTCGCAGCTAGGTCGAACTAAGTATGAAGGAAGTCCAGCGGAAATCGATTTTAGTTTGAGTTAACTGGGGTGTGATTTATCGGGCGTCGATTGCGTTCAGTTCGTTGCAATAGGGGTTTGTTATACATTGGTCAATTAAAACCATGCCCTCCTATCCCCGGACAAGGCGGGGAGTTAACGCAGTCATGCCCGGGTTTTAATACAGAGGCAGCATAATCCCACTGGCACAGGAAGTGCCCGACTAATCCCCAGCCGCCTTCAAAGCGCGGTCACACCGACGTGGGCAAGACGACTTGAAACAAGTCAGCAAGGGCATGGGGAAATAATTCACAAATGACCGCAATGCTGGGGCATTTTAGCAGGGATTCAGTAATGATCCATATTGGAGATAGCTCCAGTAGTCTACAGGCCGTCTTTACAAAATAAAAGGCCAGATTGGGACGTCTTCCTTTATGTCTTCAGCACACTTTGTTGTCGTTGTCGGAGTTTTAATTTTATTCTCTGTATCAAATTGCTTCCTTTTTCAATTAAGGGTCTCCGTCTTGAAACCTTTCCTCTTTTGTAAAGCTACTATTACTGTTGGTTCAATTTTTATCAGTAATCACAGGAAGAAATAACTCGGTGATGGGATTTTAACTGACGATGTGTCCCTATACCAGGGAAGAATTTCTGTCCTAAACACTGCGTAAATGTTTTAAAAATTCTCCGCCTCGTTCCAGGGGGCCAACAGCAGGGGCGGAGTTTCAATTGACTTCTCTCAGTATTGACGTTGGTAGTTATAACATTTCTCAAATCACAGGAAGTCGATCGAGAGGAGTCTATCATGCTTTAGAAACTTCAGAGGTCGAAAAAAAAAAAACGAGCGTCCTTCATTGTCAGTAAACAGTTTGGGCTTCCGCCAAGACGGAAAAAATGCGATAAACAGGAAGAGCTTGGAGAGGTTATCTCACATACTTGAGTGACTAGTACCATCCCCACTATTCCATTTTGATGTGTAACCGCTGAAATCCGGATGCAGCGTATAAATATTGACAGCGCGGTCGAAGGGAAGATCTCAAATTGCACTTAATCTCGTCATAGGATTAACATAGTATAATATTCGTTTTCTTTGGTTTTCGCTCTACAGTGGAAGTACTAGGACATCGTCTTACTTCGCGTTGAACAAAGGTGAAGATGACTTCAGTATTGAAGCGAGCTTCCAAGAAGGGCAAGCCTCAAACTCAAGGTACGTGAAGTTTGATCTGCAGATGTCGCAAACTGGCGCGGTATATTTGGGTTAAATGTTGTATTGCGTCTTTGATTCGCCAGCACTTTCCGCTTAGACTAAGGTTTACTTCGTTGAATAGAAAGTGGAACAGGAAAAACATGGCTTCATCCAGCCGAAACTTTGCAGCAAGGATCTGTAGTTTATTCTGTCAAGGTAGGATGGCCTGTGATTGTTTCTTCAGACTAATATTGAAGGTGTCAAAATCTATTCCCAAGGCCTCTAAATGCGTTTTATTATGGGGTTTTCTGAAACATATTGAAGACAAAATTAACCTATCAAAGGAAATTTATTCAGCAGACATTTCGTACGCAAAAGGTTAGAGAGTAGAATCAATAAAATTCGTCCCGTCTTGCTCTTTAATCAAGTGTTGTGGAATTCGCGATCACAGAAAGTTCAAATGCTGTTTTAGACAACCACGAGGCGTTAGCTTGTGTTCATCTCCAGTTCTTTTAACAAACAGATCTTGTTTCCATTCAAAACACAGCCTCCGCAGTTTTAGTGAAAGAAACTGTCTTCATTCAAGTGACAAAGTCGCCCAATTAGGCCTAAAGGAACAATAAATTTACTGTCCCCGGAAATTGCCTGCTTGAGAACCGTTTTCCCCTGCCTCTGATTAGTTCACAAACTGTCGATGTTTTTGCCTTTTCTGAAGGTTAAGCCGAAGGTTAAACTGTTTGTAATTGTTAAAGACGCATTTTTCTCTCAAAAGTTCTTTCGTAAATTATTTTTGAATTAGTGCTGGTTGATTTATTTTAAACATAATATAATCGCACAATGTACTAAAACTTATCGGACAACATACTGAGTCAACTTAATAGGTCGCGGAAAATTGAACTCTGGAGTGAAAATTGAGAATGCCAGTCCACCGGGAACCACTGGCAGGGAATCTTGGTAAAATGGCAAATGATTTCCATTTGGTTTGAGTCATTCATGTACAATTATGTTATAGTTTGAGGGGTTGTAACTTACTCGACAGTGGTATAGTTAATTAACATTCAACTTTATTGTGTTTTTGTTACTTTCAACGCGAGTACTTTGAGAAGAAAGAGCTCTCAGCTCAAAATAGCTCAAGTCTCAAGAAATAGTTTTGAAATTATATTTTGACTCACGATGGGAAATATATTTAATTTTGTTCTTAATTTGACAGCCCTATTCATTTTCACGCGTCAAGTGAAGAAGGTAATTGTGTGCAAGGTCGGCCAGATTGTTTATTAATGATTATGTAATCTCGCATTCTCTCGTTCAGCTTTTGGGGCATACAGATGTACCCCAAGCAAAAGGGACAGACATTGTTAGGGAAGCCATCAAGAAAGTCAAGGTAATTAATTTATGGAGAAAGATAGAATAATGGGTAGTCTTAACTGGCAAATATGAATGTATACATGAAATTGTGTTAAATATTCCTACAATTATGGTGAAAATTCAATATCAATATTGTCACAACAACAATATACAGACATCCACAAAGAAAATTGTGAAATCGAAATTTTTTCCCTCTTTCATATTTAAATGATACAATGTACATCAGATCAGATGCCCAATATACTTTGATATTGAGCCAAATTCTTCCAACTGATCTTCAAGGGAACATAATGTGACTGTGAGGGAAAATTAATAATCCAATATCAGGAGTTACATGCAAGGGGTTTTAAAGCTTGATGTATTGTTTTCAAGCAATTAATAGATTTTTTTTTGTTGGGAACTGTTATATTAACTTGCACATGTGCCTGGTTTATTTATAGAAAAAGTGCTGTCACTATTATTTCTGCCTAGATGCAAGATCAACTGATGAAAATAAACTTTATATGATAAAATTAAAAATGAACTGATCAAAAAGTATTTCATTTTGATTCGATGAATGACATAATTTCTGCAATTTTTACGAACAAATAATTTTGAAGTTGTGGATTTTAGGAAACTCAATTTAATATGTAACATCCAAAGGACCTAGCTGTTACATTAGTACTTGTCCCATGAGACTTAAAAAAATAATGACATCTGAAATGTTTTTGTAATACAGTCAATGGCTTTGTTTAAGGAGTAACATTTAAATGAATGTATTGGGTGATCATCCTGATAGAGGAAGTCCAGGAAAGGACTGTTGTCTATAATATCAACTAATTAAGCGAGTAATCGTAACTATGACAAAATTCTAGATTGTGATCTGTTACTACCAACACAATCTGGGCACTGATAGGAAAGTGAATGCATTATGCTTGTAATGGACAGAGAAAACATTACATGTGCATGCTCTGTTGCATATTTTTTGTTGAAACAACTGTTACTTTTTATGAAAATGTACAACTGATGCCTACATTGTTTCTCAAATTCTGTCACAGTTTTGATTAATTGGTAGTAGGAGTTTTTGTTGTTAAATTCTGTTTGTAATCATATTGGTAATGAATGAGTTGAACTCCAGCTTTAATAATATAGTGATCTGATTTTGTTAATCACTTGTACAATAACATTGTAAACTTATGTATGGTCCCAAGGGAAACTGTTAGTTTGTTTCCCAAGAGTCCTGATGTTTCCAGAGACAAATTTGAGGGAAACATGAAGACTCTAGGGAAAACAAAACTAGCTAGTCTCCAAAAGGACCATACATAAAGTGCTTTGTTATATATTTAGACTTCCCCTTAAGAAATCATGTGGCAAAAACATGCTGTTGTATTTGGTGCGTGGGCTACAACTGCAAAATTGTATCACAGTCGGGATGCATTTGAATGTGGTCGGGCACATGACCAGGAATCAACCAACCACAGTGCTCATTTTGTTGAGTGACAGTCTAGGTACATAACAAAATGAGTTGTACTCCACGTAGTCCTTTGATCATCACAAATCTGAGTGGAGTTATAACTAGAGTCAAAGCTGTATGTTTAACAGGTTCTAAACACATGCAATTTGTGTGGTCGTAAGGGTTGCAAGTCTATGGTGGCAATGTGAATTCATTAGTAAGCAATAATGTTTAAATTTTCTTTACTTGTAGTTTGCAAATCATATCAAAAAGAGTGAAGCTGGTGTCAAAGGCAGTAAATTGAAAAAGGTTGAGATCAAGATATCCATCAACAATATCAAAGTAGAAGATGTCAAGACTAAGGTAGCCTTGTTTTTGCCTGTGTGTCTTTGTATCTGTGTTTGCCTGTATCTCTGTCTTTCACTCACTCTGTTATTATTTATTATATTTCTCAAATCATTCCTTTAAATTTTTACAGGAGGAGCTATACTCATACCCACTTCACCGTATATCCTATTGTGCTGACGACAAACGCGATAAGAAGCTGTTTGCTTTTATTGCCAAAGATTCTGGCCAACAGCATCATAACTGCTATGTTTTTGAGTGCGAAAAAATGGTAAACAAGATCATGGTTCAAATTAAATGTAGTTTCACAATAGTTAGATAGACCATACATTGTGTATATGTATATAAACATAGGGCCAACTCAGAAAAATCCCCAATTTTAAGAGGTAGTGCTTCATCATAGTATTCTGTGTCATTTATTGCAATGTCGAAAATCAGCTTGAACCCTTTCACTCTCAAGATCTCACCAGTAGTTCTCTTTACTGTCTGTCATACAATTCTTACAGTGCTAGTTCAGAGAATTTGGTACTGGATCAACCAATATACCCTTAATTGATACTTTTCCTCATACTCATTGCTTGTACACTTGATATCGTTTTGATAATTTAAGGAGAAATTCTTTCTGAAAGGGTTTATCTTTTCACTCCCAAAATCTCATTGGTAATTCTCTTTACTTTGTGCTGCACAATTCTGACATTAGTTCTGAGAATTTGGAGTTGAACCAACTAATAATTCCCTCGCTGTTATTTTTCTTTATTCCTATTAATTGTCTGTTTGATATTGTATAGAAATGGTAAGGACAAATTCTGTCTTGGTCACTCTTGGGAGTTAAAGGATTAAGGCAAAAGAGAACTTAAAAGACAGGAACTGGTGACTTTTGCTGCAAATTTTAGTCACCTGAAAATGTTTTCTATTGCTATGGCAAGCAAAGTTCTGATTTTTATTCTAATGATGGGCATTTTTCTTCCTTTCAATTTCAAATTGAAGGCAGAAGAACTAACCTTAACTGTAGGACAAGCTTTTGATCTGGCTTATCGAAGATTCCTGGAAAAGAAGGCTCTTAATGACAATTCCAAGAAAAAACTTAATGAGATGGAAGAAAAAATCAAAACTGCTGAAGAAGAGAAAGAGGCATTGAAACAAAAAATTGCTGAACTAGAAATAGCTGCAAGTCAAGGCTCAGGGCCCCCTTCAAGTAATGGAAGTAATGAGGTAAGGTGTTCTATTTTTTTCCCATAATTTAAATGTAATAATAATTGTTGTAATTTGAGTATTGCCTTTCTAACTTTCTGCACATTGTCAGTCATTTTAAGAAAGGCTGAAAGTGACCTATAAACCAATACTATACATTCAAGAAAATTAGATTGCTTAATTGATGGGGGGGGGGGGACTTTTTAAAAATAGTTTGTGAAATAGGCTGGGTATTTAACTCTGGAGAATGTCTCATTTGAGGTTGTATAATATTTAGAAGAGAACAGACAAAGTCAGCTTATAGTAATACTGCCTTCTTTTTTTTTTTTTTTTTTTTTTTTTTTTTTTTTTTTCAGTGAAAGGTTCGTTATGTAGTACCCACTGACAATTGTATTTTAAGAGTTAAATTAAAGGAAGGTTCTGATCTAAAAGGGATCTTTTAAGTGTTTATGTGTTCACTGGTTTTGAGTTTCTCAGTGATAGTTTGAGAGTTCAGGGTTAGGTTTAGGAAATCTGAAGATCTTAGGTTCAATTCCTGATGGGAACTCAAGAGTTTTTTCTTTGTCCCATGCTTTTGACATGACGAACCACAGCCTTCTTCAGTTTAAGAGCTCTGTAAATCCTGAAGATCCCTTTATCAATTGTTATTATTGCTTTCTCAGGGTAACAGGAGCCAGTCTGATCCAGATGAATTTGATCTCTTGGGTAGTTTCAGTTCTTCTTCTGTGATGCCCATTTCACCGCTACAAGACACAGCACCTGTTTTCCCTCAGGATTCAGCCAGTCAAGACATATTCTTTGATCCTTTTGCACAAATACTGCCATCTCAGCCTCAAACAGCTGCTCCTACATCACCTGACCTAGATGAATTGTCACCATCACCTGTGAATCCATCTGTACCCAGACCAGCAACTGGGGGAGTACTGCCAGTTGCTCTTCCTCCTCCTCCAACCAAAGAAAGTGTCAAAGCAGCCAATCGAATGAAAACAAACAGTGGTAGCGCAGCTCCAGTCATGTCACCCACGGCTATGTCACCCACGGCTATGTCACCCCCACCACAAGTAGAATCACCACCGGTTTCTCAGTCAGCACCTTCAGATGGTGAGAAGATTTGTTGACCTTTTAGCCCCTGTGATCTGATTTTTAATCCCCTCTAGCTGCTACACATTTTCTTGTCATTTAGTAACGAGAATTTAGTGTTAGATCAAGATAACAATTCTGTCTGATACATTTGAGCATTCTCATTACCTGATGGTTGGGTAGTGTATGGATGTTATAGAGAGAAGTTATATGTTAATCACTTGTGGTAGTTAAAAGGTTAACAACTGGCCCTGGTTGTTGCAAGGGTGTCTGATCAAGTTCATTCTGTAAGTGGAAATGAATGCATAAGAGCTGACATTACTGGAAAAAGTGTTTTCTGGCACTTCTGTTTATATACTCTATTGGCCCCCAGCAGTGATGGAGAAATACTTTCTCCCTACAAAATCAATACAGTATCAAGCAGACAAGTGATGAGAAGTTAGAAAAATATCAATTAGTGGATTATCATTTGATCTAATAATAAACTCCCAGAACTAAATATATAAACAGGAGAGTTACTTGATAGATCTTCAGAGTGAAAGAGTATTCAATCTAATAGCTAATTTTGAGGACCACAAGCTATCAGAATTGAGATGGAGAGTTCAGTATAGTACTTATCCATACAATTCTGAAATCTGTGATTCACCCTGTTCACTCTTACTAGTACAGACAATGTGCTACTTTAATTTTTACAGTTTTGGATGCTGTCATAAAAGATTTAGGACTGTTTTATAGCTGAATGATTTTCTTGTTACCTCAGATCTACTACAACTGAGTAGTGGCCACTCAGCTAATCCATTCTCCAGTGGTCTTAATGGCACTGATCCATTTGCAGATGATGATCTGTTCGATCCTTTTGCTTCTAAGAATAACTTCTTTGACAGTGGGAAGGAGATCAATCAAAATTTACCGGTTTGTTTTTCAACCTTAACATACATATACACTGTACCTATAGCACAGTATAGCACAGACAAGCTTCTTACAAACAAGTTTGAGTCTTGTATAGGCTGCTAAATAGACCAAACATAGCATACATGCTCACTGAAAGATATGATAAACATTGTTAAAGTAATCTTTAACTATATGTAGTATGCACTCAACCTTCAGAGACTTAAATTTAACAGGCAGTCAACAGACTTGCATTCCAAAGAACAGTGATTTCAGAATTAATACCAGTCAAGAAAATAGTGTGCACATCTGTGATTGAGTGAAAACTATAACATTTTTCATGTAACATGATTGCAAAGTTGTAACACAGGTACAAATTACAAATATGCGCTGCCAAAAATTGTGTCCATCTTGACTTTCTGTGATTTGTTTATGTAAATTATTATTGAGTAACAACATGATTGCTTGTGCAATTTGGTGTAAATAGGCACTTGAAATTTTTTCAAAGACTCCAAAATGCACTTGCCCTACAGGCTTGTGCAATTTTTTGTTGTCTTTGAAAAAAATTTACTTGTGCTTATGAACACCAAATTACATTCAAAATCATGTTGTTACCAATATGTACTTGTATGTGTCTTGTCCCCACAGAGTGAATTTCCAAGTGACCTAGTCCTTCATTAGAAGAAGGAGGAAATTGGCAAATAAAACAACACCAGGTAAAATATGTCTTGTAAGAATGTGTCTAAAGAAGGGTTGATTTTAAGTGATAACCTTTAACAGTAGAGGACATTTTATATATGTACATAGCCTCTTCTAAACTAAGCAATGCAGCAACATTATCTTCTGTTTGGCCTGCTAAGATGAAAAGCTGTTAAATCCCTGGTTATTTATCACCAACTTTTCATGGGCAGAAAGGAGGCCTACTAATAATTGAACAAGGTGTGTTTCGCTTCTGAAATGTGTGAGCCGTCTGAAACTGTGTCGTGTTGGAATGATCTACCTCTGTTACCAACTACACTTTTTAAGTTTAATCTCCCACTAAAACTTGAGTTTCTTGGTCTGTTCTGTTGCCAATTGATCCTTGATTTCCCCTTAATTTAGAACCTTTGGTCATTGATGGAAGGGTCAAAATTTGATGTGAATCTTACAATATAGAATTCAAAGACAAAAATTAGTTACTAGAGTTATGCTGTGTTCCCCTTTTCATGAGGTAGCTGGTAAAAACTGTTGCTTTTAGTACCTTTCAACAGGTAAAAGGATTGTTCTACCAATTTGAAAATTTCTTTTACATCTTGTGCTTACAATAAGGGAGAACACTGGGTGTGTAAACAACAAAGTAATGAAAACTGTTTCTTTTTTTTTTTATTTTTTCTCACAGCAAGGGTCAAAGATGTTCTTAGACACCAAAAGTGGACAACAGAATTCATAGAGTTTTAAGTGAATCCAATACAGTTATTGTTCACAGTGCAATTGTGACTTGTATATTTAAATTAATGCAGTAATATTTCTGGATAATGAAGAAAAAAAGGATTGTTTTACTGTGAAGACTTTTTTTAATGAATGATCTTAAAGTTGTAGATACTGCGGAATGATTTAACAATTAATAGAAGGATGCCATTGATAAAGAAGAAGAAGGAAAAGAAAAAGAATACATTTTGAAATGTCTTATTGATATTGTCCACTGATATTCCTCTGAAAATTATGTGTCAGATGCTAGATTTAAAGTTTATTGTTCTTTGGTGATACAGTTTGTTGTCATTGTGCATCAATCAATTGGAAGCTTCAACATTCCCTCCCCCCCTCCCCTGGTCTGGGAATTTTATATTTTGAAGATGGGTTTGTTCAAATTCTGCCCATCAAGAAAAAATTTTGTTCAAATACCCATACAAATTTTGTAAAGGCAAAATCAGCTACTGTAATGCTTTACAAATTGACCAAGCTCCAAAACCTTTTCTTCTGAGCTGTTTTCTCATGAAAGTGGGCTATTTACCCTAATTAGCCTGCTATATTGAACCACTAACACTTGCATTCCACCAACAAGACCCATCTCTTCTAGTTCAAATTTCTTACCCCAGCCAGGCAAGGTTCAAATTCTTTACCCACCCCCCTCCCCCTGGCATGGATGATGGTCAAGTCTGTATGGGAAGGGGGGGAAGGGAGTTGTTGAAGCTTCAATTTGATGGATGCATCAGTAAGTCAACCTTGTAACTCCTAAGATGTTACATTTCGTAATCCTCCTATCGAGTCCCATACATACCCTTGTAAATTAGAATGGAGAATTTGGTGTTACATCAAGGCGACACCCTCAAGCTGATAAGCTTGTAAAGAGAAATTACGTGTCAAATACTTAAAAGGATTTAAGCATGAGATTTTATGGCAACAGTAAATGGCAAATATGAACTCCCAGCAGAAATCTCTTGCTCCAGTTGATCCAAATATATATTTTATGCACTAAAAGGGTTGAAAGTCAGTGATAGGTAGTTAAATTTTTTGTCACATCACATGGATGTCATGCATAACTTTTTTACTTTTAAGGAAACTGCATAGGATGAGCAACAAAAGATTCAAGACAAAGAACTTGGGTTTAGTGAATTCATTTCCTGTACCTTGGTGTTATCGCAAAATATAACTATTGATATTAAAATAATCTTCAAATGACCAAAGAAGTTTACTATAAACTGAAAAGACTGATTTGTAACCCTGAAATTATGACCATGTTGAATTTCTAAAGGATAACAGATTAGCCTCATAGTAATCCCTATATTTTTCAACTGTTTACAATGATATAAGTTGATTATTAGTAAGACATAATAATTATTAACTCATTATTAATGCTATGGCTTTTGTCAAAGACTTTATTAATCTCCCTTTTTTTTAATGAAAAGATTGCCTGGAAGAAAGGATTGATTGTTCAGGAAGAGGTCATGATTTAATGTTATTCCTTGAGGGAAATTAATAGTAAAATTTCCCATGGGATATATTGTAAAGAATTTGGATTGTGATGTACTTTTAAAGAGCATGATTTACAACAACAAATCAAAGAACAGATGATTATTCATTGCAGCAAAGAGATTGAGTGATTTTTTTTTCCTGCTTATTGCAGAAATTGAGATTGTCAGATTGTCAAGCAGGCTATGGTGTTTAGGGTTTTGCCTAAAGGCACAGCAGCCTCTTAAAGAAAACGTCATTGAAACTCCTAAGTTAAGAGGAACCAGTCATGGTTCAGGAAAGTGTGTCGACAACTGACCCCTTTAAAAAGAAAATAGACTTCTATCAACCACTTTCTCATGTGTAAGAGAGTTGTTTTAGTGATTACTTTCATAAGGTCACAGCTTGTGTTTACAAAATCACAAAGGAGTTGTTTTGTCTAATCACCTAGCAGTGAGCCATTAAGTATCTGTAATTATGTGCTCTAAAAATGTTTTTTACCAACATATATTACTGGTTGAGTGGATGAGGCAACAAACTGAAAACAAAGTATTTATTTGATACAATGGATGTTGGTGTTGAATTTAGTATAGTTAATACATTTAAGCTCTTGAGTTGATGTTGTGAATACTAGTAACACTGAAATTAGGCAATAGCAATAAACTAGTGAATTAGCTCCATAAAAGCAGTAAGATAAAAATAGTAAATTTTTACATGTATTTTACAATTAATGACCTTTTAAAGTACAACAAGAGACTTAGGTGTATAGTGGTGTCTTGGTTATATTTTTAATAAATAATTGAAAGATGAGAAAATAATTCTGAAATAGTGTGCAAACTTCCTAATGAAACTGTTGTACTCTGTAAGCAGGCAAATGAAATTGTTGTTCGTCAACTACCAGTGAGCTTTTGTTTGGGTTTCACGCTACAGCCCTTTTTCTGGTCTTTCTGGACACAGCCACCTGTTACTCCATCAGCAGCTTTATTGAAACCTCTGAACAATCATTATGGTGAATTTTGAAAAGCTGATGTTTCAGCCCTCCCATTTGGATGCACAGAAAAACTCTTACTTCAGTGTTAAAAGTAATCTGAGATTACATTTGATTTGCTTTTCTTTACTTTGCTCTGTGATTGATTCAGAAAACTTGCATCAAGCTCTTAACCAATCAGATGCAGAACTGAAACCAATCTCCACTTGGTCGTGTGAATTTTCCAACTTAAGGCAGTTTGGTTGTTTTTACTCTAAGATCTCATTGGCTCTTAAAGGCACTTTCCTGTCTTCTAATTGGCTGTTGCAATTGCTTTAAGTTTTAGCTTTTCAACACTTAATCAAAGAGCACTGCACTCTTTAAATAAAGCAGCCAACAAATTCTTCCCATTTAACACAACATCTACACTGCAAAACTTTGGATAAAATAATCCTGTTCCCTAAGCTTGATTTAGTATTAATGACAGTTTCAACCTAATTAATTAAAGGAAAATTTGTGTATATTTACACTTTAATTTTATTCAAACGAAACATTTTCACATTGTTATCCAACTAGAAATTGTTGGGAATTGTGTATATATTACTTACAAAAAAAATGCCCCATGACATAAAAACTTATTGGGAGTTTTTCCATTGCCGATTGGCAATATTTTGAGTTTTATTAGAAGCAAGCTAAAAGTGACTTTCCCTCTACCACCATCAGATGCCTAATAGCTTTCCCTTCCCCTCCCCACCCACACACAATAATGACCTTCATTCTACTGTTTGGATGAAAGCAACTCAGGGTTCATTACATATAGTTAACATTCTTAGGATATTTATGTATTATCTAAAAGTTGAGTTCCTTCAAAGTTTGACATTTCTTTTTTAATATTTGAGATGCCAGAGTTAATGATTTGTCATTTCTCACATTTTTATAAAAAAAATCTCCTGTAATATAAGCCTTAAACCCTTTTATACCTTTAAGTTGCCAACATAAAATTTTTCTTTACAGAGTCAGCCATGAATCAAACAAAGGATACGAGAATATAGGAAATGATCTCTTGCTGAAAAAGCTCTTGATCATCACACAGATTCTCCCTCTAAGTTCCATAGGAAATTTTTAGATAATAGTTTGGGACATATCCATATTAATGTTGGAGAGTAATTAATGGATTAAAACTGTTTCCTTTATCTGTATTTTCTGACTCAAGTCTAGAAAAATTTAATGTTGGCTATCTGTCCCACTTTCCAATAGCTTCAACCAATTTCACATTGATCTGACTTTTGGCCAGTATGATTTCTTTGTTAAAATCATACATTTCTCCTCTGATTAAAATATTTCCACAAATTTTAGACTGATCTGTGGTTTCTATGAAATGTGGTTTGTTGCACTGTTTTTCCAGATACCATCTGAGAAAAACAAAAGTTTATTTTTCTAGACCATGTTCCTGGGGTTCTGTTTGCTCTTCATTTGCTGCAGCTCTTGTTTCAGGTGGAATGGCATTTTTATCAGTGTCTGTAGACTCCTTATTGTCCATGTCTCTGAATCTTTTTAAATCAGAAATGACATTCTCTAGTGTTCCAACTCTTTTTCTCTGTAACCGTTCTGCAAGGTTATGAGAAATGTACAAGGTGAGAATAGGTGTACGCTGTAAGAAACAGTGGCTCAATGGTGGGTCAAAAGGTCACTGGTCAAGACCTGGCTGGTTCTTCATGTTGTGTTCTTGGGCAAAACACTAAAACACTCCCAGGGGTGTAGCCAAGATTTTCAAAGGGGGTCACACTGCATCAAACAGAAAGTACGTACCAGATTGACATGTCAACCTTCATGCCTTGTTTTACTTAAAGTGACAAAAAAGAGCTAACAGAGGGAGATTCACAGGCACCTCAGGACCCCCCCCACCCCCCAGCTACTCCCCCCAGCTACCCCCTTAACTCTTACAAGGCCTAACCTGCTTTCCCACCCTCCACCCAAAAAAGAGACCTGAAAAAAAAATTAGAAGAAAAGCTTAAAGTATTCTATACAAAAGGGTATACATTAGCATTGTTACTTGTTCTGTCACAAGCCTAGGACAGAATATCTCATTTCAATGCTCTGTTGTTGAATTCCCAATAACTTTTTAGGAGGCTAAGAACCTTTTTATTACTTTTATTTGGCTCTTCACACAAATATGGTATTTCTAAACAGGTCAGATATACCTTTGACTATTGTGTAAACTAAACAATAAACAAACCACACACAAAAAAATTTGTCATACCAGTCTTAGGAATTTTTCTTGTTATAAGAGATGTTTCATCTATGGACTCTTCAGTGTAATCAAATGCTGAGGGTTCATGTGCTCTGCAAAAAACATTATGTGAATGAAACAATGATGCATGAGAAGAAGATCATTGATAGCAAATCACAGTTACGCAGTATTATCCATGATCAAATCAGAACTATGGAACAGTGATCCATAGATGTCTGGTAGACTCTCTCCTGTGGAAACTGAAGAAAAACAGGATGCTGGTTTGTTTCTCTTTGGCTTCTCAGAGATGACCAGCGCTTGGCTTATCACCTCCAAGCTAGCCTATCAAAATGCCTGAAAAGCTCTATTTGTCTGAGTGGTATATACTGATTACCAGTCATTGGATGGGTTGTGCACAATGTATATAAATAAACAATAACCTCTATTTGGTAAAAAAATATGCATGGATGTTTGTCCACAGACAAATCATAATCCTTCAAATATTCCACAACGCCTGAGAAAAAAATGTTTTCAAAGAGCTCACTCTTTGCTGCATGGGATGTTCTCTCTTGAGCAATCTCTGGTACAACTTCATGCACACTACAGCCATACAACACTCTCTCATCATGAATAAAAATTTTAAACTGAGACTTAATGTAGTGGACATGAGTTTTGAAAATTGGGGAGTATCACTCTATGGGTGATATCCTCGGATATCTCCCAGTTTCAGCCGGATAATATTCAGTCACGTGATCCATTTAGACCAACTGCGCACGACCAAAAGCAATTGATGGATCATAACATAATTTGACATGTCTCTCAGTTACTACGCGCTTTTTCCATTGATTTCTTCTATCGTAGATCTGTATACATTATGAAGTATACGGTTATATGGAAATATTGTCAAAATATTCTCAAAGGCTTAATATTCATAAATGTTTCAGCCATAAACTCACTTATCTTTATCTGTTGCGGGAACAGCCGGAGTCTCATCATTTTCAGTAGTTTTAATATCAGCAGTTGCCTCATCAAGTTCCTCAGCTTCTTCGTTTTCTTGCTCTCTAGCCTCGCTGACCACGTTGTTTACACCACTTCTGTATTCTTTAACTTTCAATTCTAAATACCCGTTCTTCTCGATCTCGCTGTAAAGTCCCAAAACATTTAGTGGAATTTCCCTTTCCTTTCCACTCTGGCTTTGTACAGCTTCAGCACTGTCCTCTTCGCCGTCACTACTTGGTACGTTCCAATCGCTCTCTTTGTCAGACATTGTTATTTCACGCAAGTTTATCACATTTTATTCTTAAGGAAAGCCCGCCATTTTGAACAAGGCGTATGCTTTATATATGACAACACAGAAAGTATTCTAAGTCGTTCGTTATCCTTGACGGGAACGGTCAACAGATCTCTCGCGTGAGGAGCCTCCACGCGCGTTTCCATGAATGCATGCATTACGACTCCAACGATTCCTGATCCTGAGAGGCCTATTCAAGCACTTAGTTCTTAAAGGACGTTGAGAAGACAATTTAGGCAATGAGTAACTACAAGAAGGAAGAAAATAGTAGTCCGCGAGTAGCGCTGCAAACGCGCGTTTCTCCGTCCCTGGAATATTCGAGATGAGTCGCGGAGAGGTTTGCGGTGGGGTAGTTTTGGCTTAAATAATCATCGGTTTCAGACTCCTGGCATAATCTCTCCCCGGCTCGCTTTGCTTAGAGCTTAATATTTTCCCGCGGGCGAATAAAGGCTTGTACCAAAGCGTTAATAAGAAGGGTCTGCCCTCACGCTACGAAAATAACCACGTTGTTCTTCTGCTACAGAGATACCTTAATACGGGATGGCCGAATGTCAGTCGCTTCTTCTTTTTTTTTGGTCTGTGACCCAGCTTTAATGAATACAGAGTTAAGTGAAAATTTCTTTGGTTGTAAAACTTGTGATATTAAAGACGGAGATGAATAAGTAGACTTGAAATGCAAGTGGACGGACACTTTGCAATGGGGGTCCTACTTTCACCCTTTACACTCTAACATCTGTAAAGATATTCTCCATGCTGTTCACCTTACATTCTCTAAGGTGCTGATAAGGAGAATTTGTGTAAAAATCAACAGCTTCTTTAGTTGCTGATTATTTCCTTTTTTCCCGTGACCTCAATATTTGATTCAGAGGTGATATTGTAAGGAGAAATTAGACGCTAGTCACTCTTAAGGGTTGAGGTTATTCTAGAGAGGAGGGGGGAGATTAAAAAAACGCGCTGAATTAACCCCCCTCCCCCCGTATCATGTACGTTCTTCATCGCATCATAAAACTGAGAGACAAAAAGGCTGAGGCGAAGACTTTCCAAGGGGGGCAGAAATCTACAATTCTGTTCCTGTGGGGAGTGTCTGCTGTTTGTTTTTGAAGTTTCTCTTCACTATCAGGGAGAAAATTTCGACAACTCAAATAATAGTTTGTAAGATTCAATGGAACTCAAGGTTATCCTCATTGGTGTGGCCACCAATTTTGTTTTATTGTCTTATTAATACAGCTCACCTTTCATAGCTTCTAATTCTACCACTGTAGACATCATAACTTCACTTATCCTACTATAAAATTTGTTGATGACAAAAATAAAATACGAGTGAGCTTTAAGTGTATTTATATGGCAACGAAACTCATTTCCAACACATCAATAAAACTTTTAAACTGCAATGACAGACTGAGTAAATACCAACAACAAATATAATAGAAAAAATTTTATTCAGATTCGGAGGATATTTGTGATTGGGCAAAGCAGTGCCTAGCGAGGCCTGATATAAGTTCTCTCCGCTACATCTAACTCAAGTTTAATTCCTACGTTCCATCGACTGCCATTGTCTTCAAACGTCTTTATATTAAAACACAATATACAGGTGGTTGTCAAAAGCTAAGCCGTACGAGAAAGGACGGTGTGATGGAAACAGGCTGGTCCAATTTCAAGCTTGAAGTCTTGATCTTTTCCGCCGATGTCATAGGCTGAAACGTCCATGATGGGTAGTCTATTCCTCTCTCTAGTATCAATCTCTAGAACTGTTTTCTCCCATTTGCCCGTAGAATCACTTTGCTGTAAAATCAATCAAAACAATTTTTATCGATGACTTTTGTGTGTACACTTCCGGTAAAATGGAGACTCATTTCCGCGTAAAATGGTAAAACTTCCAGGTGAATAAGGGCACATAAAAGGTTGAAATCTGATTGACGAAACTGATACTTCACGAAACAAAAATTCTCAGTGGGAGGAAACGTATTCAGTCTTGAAGGCTAAACAGCCCATAATTCCCTCTGATGTGAGACGACCAGAGGTATGGCTACCCTCCCCTCCTCCCATGGAATGCTAGTCTATCATAGGTTAACCACCCTTGCACGGGATTTTGTCACCTTTCCCTAACAGTTCACAGGGCACTTTAAGAGTAAAGGGCCTTCGCCCGTGAACACAATAACCCGCCCTGAAGTCGAACCCAGGCCTTTTGATCGGAAGTTAAGCGCAATAACCACTAGGCCACCGCACTTTCAATTCTGGTGGAGAGAGTGCTCTATTGTACCTAGTGGAGTGGGGGGCGGGACGAGGGAGGGAAGAGGTAGCGATGATTTTCACTTACCATGCATCCGTTGGAGAGTACTTTGGGTCTGAGTGAGGTCTTAGATGTGGCATGATATTCCATTTCGTTAGAGCCCTTAAGTTTGATTGAGTATCTTCCATCTTCCCAGGCCATGGAGTTACGGCAGGCGTAGGTGATGTTCTGATTTGCAAAGTTGCTAAAGGTCTTCAGGAAGTTGAGCTGCGTGTAGTGGGCGTCGTATTCCAGCAGTTCGGTCTGAAATCAAACAAGAATCGCAATTGAGAATTCGCAACTTTTGAAGACGTAAAGCTCGCTCACACAACTTGTTGGCCGATGAAAAGGTAGGATTAGTTCCACTTGGTCAAAAATGACCAAACAGCCACGAATATGGATAATGACTTCTAGGAGACAAGAATTGTGATTGGCTGATTGGTACATTCTAGTCAGGTGGACCTAATCCTGCTTTCTCTCTCAGTTGGAGCAAGTTGGAATCGTGTAACAAGAATGATAGTTCTATACTGCTTTTTAATTGAAGAGAAATTGTCAAGTGTCTCATGCAGTGCTCGGCACTGCATGATAGTGACAAAGACATCTCCCAAGCTTACCTCTTCGCTTTCCTTAAACGCTTGGCTCAACCACTTGTCTTCCTTGTCTTGAAATTGTACTTTGATTGTAAGGTCAGAGATCTACGATGAAACCAACAGAAAAACAACATTAGCGCAGGCCATTGTAAGGTCAGAGATCTACGATGAAACCAACAGAAAAACAACATTAGCGCTGGCCATTGTAAGGTCAGAGATCTACGATGAAACCAACAGAAAAACAACATTAGCGCTGGCCATTGTAAGGTCAGAGATCTACGATGAAACCAGCAGAAAAACAACATTAGCGCAGGCCACATTTAGCGCTTAGTGCTGACTAACTAAATCAACACATACCATATTAGCAAAGATAATTAGCTTTATTAAATCATTTCTTCTAGTCATCCGTTCACATAACGGAGAGCACACGGAAGTACACTATAAAGCCATTTCTACAAGAACCGAAGCCACCTACTTTCGAGTTCTTGGGGTAGATACACGACGAATTCTTGCCCTTGTCACAGAAAACCCAGATTGCATCCTTGATTGTTCCACCGTTAGGATCGATCCAGAACATACCTTTCAACAACACAATAATATATAAAAATTAGAGCAATGATTAAAAGGACTGGTAGTGAGGAAGTGGTAAAGGCCTGGGGAAAAGTGTGGTTATAAGATGATCCCCCTAAAGATGACCCCTCGTTTCGAACCTGTTCAATGTTCTCGGTTAATGCAAACGAGAGAAAGAGCGGGCAAATGAAAAACCGGCGAGGGTTAGGTAGGCGTTTCCTTGACGACCACAACCACCATTTGTCACTTGCCTACTTCTTTCCTGGTCTCCACTGACTAAGAGAGCCTGGAACAGGCTAACAGTGATGAAGGAAGAACTTACCGCTCTTGTAACTCTTGTGATCAAGGAACAGATCGTAACACGTTCTCGCAGGATATTTCCTGGTACCGTCTGGTTTTATTTTCAGGTCAATTTCTTTTTCTTTTGCATCTAACCCTCTGAGTATATCCATGGGCTAAATGATAAAAAACATGGCAGATTTAAAACAAAATTTAGAGAGAGAATGGTAAATGCAATATAACACAAACTAACAGAGACTATCAGTGAGAATTCTGTTGGAGGCTAGAAATCAAACATGATTCTTTTTTCAGGCATAGCTTACCTTTATTTCTCGAGTTGGTATTTCCTGCAAAAAAAGATGAAAAATAATTTAGAAATTGTAATAAACAAAAGAATGCTAAATTTACTCAAGTCTTCGCCATACATTCTTCACAACTGTCCTGGCGAAATATCTGCTACGAATGCATTTCTTAAAAAGTGCGTGATGTGGGAATCAGAAGCAAGAATTTGTTATTCATCATCAGCTTAACTTTTTGTTTTGTGTTTCACTCTTAGAAGAAACTACGGGTCACAATTGGTTTCAGTTTCGAATCTGATTGGCTGAGAGGGTTGCGCGAGTTTTGTGACCAATCACAAAGCGACCTTGTGAAGGACCAGAGGAATCCCGGATTATAATATAACCGTTGTACCACGCGCACTCTTAGTGGTTGATGGGTGTGTTTTAATGAAAGTATGTAGACACGATTGTGACGGTTAAGATTTGCGTGTGTTTTGAGAAGTATCTAGTAAAAGATATAGCGACCGTTTTGCGAAGTCAAATCCCCTCATCTGAGCGCTTAGCGGTTAGGATATTTGTAAAAAGTTATTGAAAACCTTTTATTATGTCTTTGGTTTACGTTACTTTAACAAATACTCCCAACCCTCTCGAGTCTAAACGAAGACAGTCCTCCATTGCTTAATTTCAGGCTAAATTAAAGTTTCCCTTACCTTTCCATTGCTCGAGTATAATCGGAATGATGGACCTTTTTCAACGTTTGCAATAGCCAAGTACTAAAGAAAAGGAAAGATTAGAGCGTGAAATCATCAGTAAAATGATTCCTTAGAGATGAATCAGGCACAAGTAAGAAAACTATTTAAACAAAATTTGACGCTATTTTTTTTACAAAATTACAGAGCGAAGCATAAATACTTACCTCAAGTAATCCTGGACGACCTGGTTCACCCTAAACAACACAAGAAGACGTGTTTCAGATCCTTATTGTTCGCC